GTGTTTTGTGTTGTATGTACTATTTATTTAACTTTGACGCAATGAAAATGAAGAAACCACGTAAGAAATGTAAATATGTAAATAGCTCAGATTAGTGTATAATGACTACGCACCCGACGATGGAGTTATCTCCGAAACGGCCGTAGTGCTCAACTAACAGGATTGCGAAGACTGTAAGTAACCTTTATATTTATTACACGCAATCTGCCACACTGATTAATCATGTATTTTGTGTTAAAAATGTGTGGACTTTATGTTTAATGTTGAATGTAATTTTTTATGTTGAACTTTATGCTTAATTAACAAGATGACGTGTATTTGTATCTTATAACGAAGGCTTCTATCAGATTTATGGACCAATCAATTTGATGACATGGGTTTGAAAATGGGTCATTTATGACCCGAAACTAGTCACCCTTGACTATTTTAAGGACTGGACACGGAATAAAAAGGTACGGAACCTATCATATCATTCGTACATCAGTCCTGGTGGCAATAATGTTCGAAATATCAAGGGATGAGAAGTACTCTTTTATATTTCCTTCAAACAGACGCAGACTTTTCAAAATTGGAAACATGGATTCAACACTGACAAGTAATTCTACACAATAGATTGTGTTCTCATGAACGCGCAACCGCACTTAAAGCACCTCTATTACGACATCAAAAATTTTTTAACTACTTCAAATTTCGCGGCACACCTACAGAGGCGTACCGGCACACCGGTTGGGAAACACTGCTTAGAAGCACTTCGTCCGTAACTGTTCTTTACAGTAAATGCCGGCCGCAACACCAGCCGGAGTCAATAAAAGCGTTTTGGCAGTTCGGCCCATAACTCCCCTGAGGCAATTTTCCCGGAGGAATGTGTTTACAAGTATTAATTATGTTTAATTGGAGAGTGTCTGGCCACAGCCTGGGCGTTGGTAATTACTGTGATGGGCCTGTAATGATGGGCTCTGGACTGGCCTCGGGAACCCATCCCCCCTCTCCTTCTCTCTCCTCCCATTATGTCAACCATCATCTGAGGCTAGTCTTCATTTATGGCCTCGCCGCCTTGCAAGCTGTGTCTGTGCTACGTTCATTTAGCAGAGGTATACGCATCAGAGGACTCTGGTATATTTTTCGTGGACAATCTTCTTGGGCCATGATTGCGGCAGTAAATTGCTCTTCATTATTTATAGCTCATAGGTCTTCGGTTCAGTTACACAACTCCAAGTGAAGAGTTTGGAAGACATTGCGAGATTTTAAAGAATGTGGCTGATTGCTTATAACTGAAGAACTGCCGGGTTACTTTGCTTTTTACTACTAATAGTGATCTAATGGGACATTATATTTAATACCTTATTTTTTTATTTTTTTCTGGTCTTATGCTTGTTGACGTTCTGTACCTTAGTAGATCACATTCAACTAGAGGGTCTATTTTTCTATTATTCAAAAGTGAACTTGCAGTTGAATACTTTCACATCAATAAATGTTTTTACTACTAATGGTGATCTAATGGGACATTATAACACGTTAGTTTTTATTTTCTTCTGGTCTTATGATTGTTGACGTGACTGTGCCTTAGCAGATCACATTCAACGAGAGGGTAGAGGGTCTACTTTTCTATTATTCAAAAGTGGAACTTCCAGTTGAATACTTTCACAACAATAAAGGTCTGGTAAGACCTCAGCTAATTATTCTGTTAGGTCTACCCTCCCCAGTATAACGACGTGGCCCCTGCTGTGCTTGTTTAAATTGACCTCAGTATTACTGTCAACCACGTACCACCCCTCCCCATTCGTTGGACCACTTGAGTATTCCAATGAACGTTTTAAACTAAATTATAATGTGAAACTAATGTAAAATATTATAAATTCAAATTCTATTTACACTACTAAAACGAAATTATAAACATCTCAACGAGTGTGTCGCCTGCAAATAAATGTCCGTTTGTCAGAGTAGGCCTAATTTGGTTAGGTTTTTATTCAACGATGCATACTAAAACTATTGACTCTTTTTTTACCTTTAATTAAACTCTTTAATACCAGAAAAGTATTCGCTAGACTTTATTTGTCTACGTCCACATAGTGTATTAGTGTATACGAGAACTTCGTGTTTTAGTGAATAGTTCAAACAGTTTGATGTTCAGGGTTCAGGGACGGAACGACGGAAGGCAGTGTCTTGTTTAATATTACGCGCGGTTGCACGCTCATGTCAATTAATACAGACGGAAATGTTCCAGTCGGAGAAGTCAGTCTTTTTCTTCTTTGAAACATCACTTCCTCAGACAGACTCATATTACCAGTTTTTGCCCATGAAACAGCACCGACTTAATATTACTTGTCCGAAAAACGAGACTCAAAGTTTACAATCATATAGACGATCAATTGCATCACAAAAAACTCATCGTGCAGATAACTGTTATATTTACCTTTCATATATAATTTTCGTTCTCCTCCGCATTTAAAAATGGGCCAGCGGACAGTTAAATAGACGATGTTTTACGAGAATAGTCTCCTAGCCCTCAATGACATCTTGTAAACCACGGGTCTTTTCAACGGTCGGCTCCCTTACAAAAAACTCAAAGATTTGCCGAGGGCTGAAACACGATACCTGGGGCGTCTTTGAGTCGAGTCCCGGCTAATTTCCTGCCCGCACAATGCCTCGTCAGGCTTGATTAGCTTCAGTGGATTATTGGCTCAGAGATATTTTTGGTCCACACTGAAAATATTCGGATTCTCTAAGGTCCACGTACGGTACCGAAATAGCAAATAATTGTAGGAGGAGACAATTGTATGATATTGAAAATTGATCTAAAATTCTCTTTTGGATAGTGGTTACTGTAATTATGATTTCAAGAATTCCCTCATTATAGATTTAAAAGTTGACTTCTAAATGTGTTTCTTTACTAAATTTAGCTTTATATGTCAATAGAATATCCCGTTTTTACAGCAAATCAGATTATAAACTATGTTGTTTGATTGTGCAATTTTAATGACTACAAACGAACTATTTGACTTGACACACAAACGTCCAACAGGGCGGATAATCGCCTTGTCATCATTGATAATATGGCCTTATTTTCAATATTTATGTTAGACTAACTGTATGTACTGAGAACGTAGCAAAAAGATCCGAAACGTATAAATATCAAAGATGAACTCACAAGTCGATTCCGAACCCATGCAGATGCAATTTGTCGGGTGCAACCCGTTCTCTTGCTTAATGCGCAAAGTTGCTATCGGCGTTAACACACAAAATAAAAATGAAACAACACTGTATTCTTTTGTACATTTTGAAACGCGCGCAGCTGTAGAATCCAACCTCGCAGTTACATAGTTAAATAATTCCCTGGCAATTATTCCAGCAGACGGCTGATTGGCAAAAACTTTCTGCGTTCTTCTTACCCAACGAACACCAAACAGAAATTAAGATTCCTGTCATATCGTTGATGCTGCATTGTTCAACTCGGCGGCCGACGCAGTACGATTGCCTTTTGTGGCACCGCGACCGGTTGAAGGAATCCGTCAGTAGCTAAGGGCAGTTTTGGCCAACCTCTTCTTGCACAGACTCCGCATTTTCTACTTTATCGTCGCCGGCGTTGGATTCCTTTTTTCAATTATCCGGATTATAATTGGGCAATTCGGTTGACAATTTGGTTTTTGAGAGGTTTGGTTTTTATGATAAATTTAAAAGGGTTTGTTTTTGGACTTTTTGGTTGAAAAAATCTCGCCCAATGCCAAATACTTTAAATGGCATTGTGTAAAAGTCATTTTGTTATTTTTGTCGGAAATGTAATAAGCACTGTATGGTTTATTAAAGTAGTATAGAATGAAATACGTTATACCATAATCTATCACATAGGCCTACTTCCTTTTTATTTTTAGCTAACGTGGAGCAGATTAACAAACACAAATTTTAAGCAGACACAGATCATTACTATCCTCAAAACAAAACTGTAAAATACTGTATAGAATTCATCCTGCATTTGTAACGTATATTTTATCAAATACTGTATGAACGATGTTCAGAATATTCTGGCATCTGTATGCAAAATCTAAAATTACAAAACAGTTATCGAATGACAACTAAGAAGTCATCGTAGGTGACTTCCTAAGCTAGAAAAGCACATTAAAAAATATCAATTAGATGGTAGTTTTATCCAAATTCAAGTTTCATAGTTATCAAGGTAGCCTTGTTTTATATTTTTGTTATCAGGCTCCCTTACACACTTCACACCACACCCTTACACACCTCGCTATCACAGACCCCGTGAGCTTCTTCCATAATATTAAAATGCAATTACCGTCATAAAAAGTTTCGATATAGATTATCAATCAGACATAAAGAATTTTACACACCTTTGTTTTTTGAGTAATTTATTGGCGAACATCAGATCCACTACAGGTACAGGGACTTGATTAAAAAAGTTAAGACAAAAACATTTCATTGTTTACAGATGGTTGGATATAAAATGAACGTTATCTGGTATTTTAATGTACAATATTGAAACATGTATCCTAGTATGACTTATCACAGCTTGCACTTGTAACATAATATACCATTAACTTTAGGATTCTGAAGTAGAAATCCCATCTAAATATAAACCAGTATTTAATTCTTTTTGTCTATGGTCATAGCCAGATTGTTTTATTGAAATAGAGTGTGCTAATCTCAAAATTCTATTTTGCCTGTCAGATAAAAAAAACCATAATGTTTCATGAGATAAAAGATTGCTGTAGATTGCAAAAAGATATAGGTACTTCCAGTTTAGCTTGGTCGTTTGAATTGGTGTATTCTTCAGAAATCAGTAATTGATATCAGCACACTGTCATTGGTTCAAGTTTCAAGTGAACTTCATTTACTTGTATTCTAAAATAGATACAGCTTTAACATACAAATATATTGTCTTTCTATCAGTAGTCAAGTTCCAAGTATTTGGAAAATGTATTTATGAAGTTAAATAACTTGTACTTTTGAAAAACTGTTATTCTATAATCCTCCTCTCCCTGTTTCAGCTACAGGCCTTCATGCCTCTTGTCCACTACAACTGCTCACGCCACCTCCGTTTCTTCTTGTGCTCCGTGTTTGCCCCGCTGTGCTCCGAGCATGTCATCGGAGCCATCCCCTCGTGCCGTAGTCTCTGTGAGGAAGTAGAGGCTGACTGTCGCCCTGTCATGGACACCTTCGCTTTTCCTTGGCCAGCACTCTTCAACTGTTCCAGGTAGAAGATAGTCAGTAGCTTTCTGATGTGCCAAAAAAAACTGAGTTGTTTTTGTTTGGGCTTTTGGCTTTTGATAAATGATTCTTGCTAAAGGCTAAAAACTGTTGAAAATGCCTGCCTTTTGTTATTTGTAATAGTCATACTACAGATGAGGTGAATGTTGTTTTTACTATCAGCTGTCTGTTTTGTTGTCCAATATTGTTCCTTGTCATGAAAACATTAATGAGAAATACATTTGATTATTTTATGGTTTAAATTTGTTTTTCGTCGTAGTTTTACTTAGATTATCCCTAAACACCTCCACTTGGGAGAATAATTCAAGAGAGGTTATGGGCCCCAGCATCGTTTTATGTACATAACAGTGTTGGGAAATTTAGTCTACTACGTACACGGTAAGAACAATTTAATCTGAAGTAATTTTCTGTCTCAAGAGTATTATTTCTTTGGTATATCTTTTGATCGAGTTCGTCCAGCTCTACAAATGGAGTGCGTAAAAGGTATAAATCATTGAAAGGAGCAGAAGATTGGCCGACGTGGAAAGATCGAGTGTTGGACATTCTAGAGTTGTTCGACGCGGTTGATATCGTCGAGGGAAAGAGAGTGAAGCCTACCCTCTCTGAGCCTCCGACTAAAGCCGAAAAGGAAGAACTTCAGAAATTCAACAAATCCATGACTCAGGCAAAAATAGTCATTTTTCAGTGCGTTAGTGATGATCTACATCAACGTATTTCCGGAAGATTATCAGCTAAGGAAGCGTGGGACATTTTGATCGAGCAGTTTGATAACAAGGCAGAAGACCAGTTGTTTCGTCAGTGTTTGGATTTTTTCAGTATGGAATGGGATGATACCGAGGATGCCCCGACCGTGCTTTCAAGATTGAAGAATCAAAACCGCGAATTTGCAGCTGGCCTAAAAACACGTAACATCCAAACAGTCGAAGATTTTCTTGAGCTCCTGTTTGTGTCAAAATTGTTACACATTTTGCCGAAGCGTTTTGAATCCTTCAAGTCTAGCTACTTACTTATGAAGGCAAACGAGAGCAAGAAACTTGAAGATGTTTCATCTGCATTAATCCTTCATGAGCGTAATGTTGCTCCTACGTCAAAAGCTGGTGACATTCTTAGTGCCACAAACAGCGGTGGTCAGAAGAATAGGAAACCAAAAGGTGACATTTCGTGCAAATACTATTCGGGGAAAGATCATTGGATTCACCAGTGTTCTAAATGGAAAGCTGACAGCAAGCCTGCGTATCCAGCTACGGCATTAGCACTAGCTCAAAATGAGTGACAATGATCAGAAGAGAGCGAAGGGCTCGCACGTTAACGTGACCGACAACTGAAGTGCTGATTTCCGTCAGCAGTGACATGAATATCGTGACCACGAACGACCAGTGGTGGATCGATAATGGTGCTATGCGGCACATTACGTCAAATCTGAGTTGGTTCACGGAGTACAAACCTTTTCCTGTAAACTCGAACGCAACAGTAAAGGCGGCGGGAAAGGAAGTTATAAAAGCTCTTGGCAGTGGAGTCGTTGAAGTAGTGAACTATGAAAATGGAAACGTCCACCCACACTCAACGATGTCTGGTATGTTCCTGACGTTTCTCGGAACTTAGTGTCCATTCTCGCAGCTCATGATCGAAACCCTAATAGCAGGTTTGAATCGACTTATACTGAGTGTCGGTTCACTATTAACGAACAAACTGAATTCAAAGGTAGTCGAAACTGTGGTGGAACTTTGTATCGTGCCTCATTTCACACAGTTCAACCGTCTGAGGTTTGCGCTAATGCAGCAGAAGACAATCGCATTCTGTAGTTATATCATGAGCGCTGGGGTCACATGGATAAACGCTACGTGCGATCAAACCTCGAATCTGAAATGGGTATCAAAGTGCCAGCCAACTACGAGATCTGCGAACCGTGTCAGTTCGGAAAGGCGAGTTGTCTACCATTCGGAACACGAGAACGCCCCTCAGCCCCCGGTGAGTTGTTATCCGGTGATGTTTGCGGTCCGTTTGACCCATCCTTCGGAGGTCGCCGATACTTGATCGTCATAAAAGACCACTTTTCAAGGTATCGATACTGTTTTGTCGCAAGGGAAAATCTGCTGTGAAGGAAGCGTTGTGTGAAGTGTTGGCTAAAGCACGTGCAATTGGTCATCACGTCAAAGAGTTTCTCAGCGACAACGGTGGTGAGTTTGACAACGCTGAAGTTCGTCAAATTCTCAGAGAATATGGTGTTAACCAACGTCTGACAGCACCGTATACACCCGAACAAAATGGTGCTGTGGAGAGAGAGAACAGAACAATCGTCGAAATGGCCCGGACCTTCAAGTACGCCAATCCAAATGTATTATTTCCTGCAGCGATCTGGGCGAAACTTGTCATCACTGCTGGCTACGTTTTGAATCGAGTTGGGAAGTCAGCAGTTGCCAACAAATCACCTTTTGAGCTCTGGTTTGGTCAAAAGCCGAGGATCAAACATCTGCGAGTGGTCAGCTCAAAGTGCTACGTCCATGTTCCTGTTCAGAGGAGGCGGAAAATGGACAGGAAAGCTGTGGTTGGTTACCTGGTTGGATACGATGGCGAAGAACGATATCGAATCTATGTTCCAGAGAGAAGAGATATCGTAGTTTCTCGTGATGTAATTTTTCAAGAAATTGTTGGAGACTGTGACAAGAAAGTTGAGTGGTCCATCAAGATTGAGAAAACCAATGACGTCAAAGAAGACTGACGTTGAAGAAGTTGAAGAGACTATTGACGAGCCTAGTTCTCCAGTGAAGGGTGATGATGAGCACCCTCAGTCAAGCCCCCTTGAGATATACCAAAATAGTTATATCTGTTAGTTAAGGAAAAGTTACTGGTGCTACAAGGTACTACAAGTTGTTGGTGTTAAGGCCTTCATGTTGGGCCTTGCATTTACCAAGGAGTTAAGAGGGGGGGGAGGAGTCCGGATAAGAGGGAGTCTACTGTACATCAATTGATGTAGTCAGCACTGAACGTGTTAAATATTTACTAGTTGGGTTTGCATACATATCGTAATACAAAAAAATGGAGAAAGCTTGGACTATGATTGTGTAGAGCTAACATAAAGAGTCCAAGATGGTGGGGGTTTTTGACCAACTGAGGACACGTCAAGTAGCAGTGATAGTGAAGATGCAGAGTTATCCAATGATCCTGCAACCCGGCACTCGACTCGGGAAAGAAGGCAACCTGTGTGGCTAAACGATTATGTCTCATCAAACTTTGCCGAAGTTACTCTTGTTGACGATGAAACGAACCCTATACCTCAACCAAGACTTCAAGTCCTGCAAGAAAATCTTATACTCTCGGCATGACTATGCAAATAAGGGAAAGTGTTGAAAATGCCTGCCTTTTGTTATTTAGTCATACTACAGATGATGTGAATGTTGTTTTTACTATCAGCTGTCTGTTTTGTTGTCCAATATTGTTCCTTGTCATGAAAACATTAGGCCTAATGAGAAATACATTTGATTATTTTATAGTTTAAATTCATTTTTCGTCGTAGTTTTAATTAGATTATCCCTAAACACCTCCACTTGGGAGAATAATTCAAGAAAAACTCATAATGTAGTTATTGTAACCGACCCCATATTCAACCCAGCAATGGCATAGGCTTATTTCCAAGTGTCCTCACTGATATTTTATCAGTACAGTTATTTCTTGTACTGAATCATCCCGCCCGTTGCGTTTCTGAATTCCACATTTACCAAGGACAAAACTCATTCCATTCCCATATTGAAGTTTTAGCAACATTTTGAATCAAAATGAACTTATATAGTTTATCTAAGCCAGCAACAGAGTGTGTTGATGACTATCATATGATTTCTCTGGTAATCAAGAAAAACTAAAAAGACAACTGACTTTTAATAAGTTTTAACTTAAGGATATTTTATCACCAAGCATCAAGGTATCAACAATTTAGAGAGAAAACAGCAGCCTACACTGTGAGTGGCTCTTTCACCTGTATTCTATTTTAAGGGAAAATTGTTTGGTTGCAGCTGTTTGACGTTTTGACTAAATCTCAGCTGTTGAGCTATGTTTTAATTGTAGGATCAAGATGTGGATGGGATAAATTCCTTTCCCTAAAACCACCTAAATTTTGTGAACGAGAATAGGACAGTAATTAATTTTTTTGTACACCTGTTTAGAATGGTATTTCTTATCATTTATAGGAAATGAATGACATAAATATTGTTTTAGCCCTCAGAATATTTTGTATTGCATAAGTGAAAAACTACCCAGGCTGCCCCAAAACCTCCCCTTGAGTGCAGCTTCATTGATTCAGGATTTACTTAATTTTTGAACTTTATTATTTACAATTATATTGACTTAATCACTACACTTTTCCCTTAGGTTTCCAATCCCAGAGAGAAATGGGCTATGTATGCAGTTCCCCAATGCCAGTGAAGATAGGGGGACTGTGAAGAGCGGGGGTTGGCCTGAGGCCCCCGCAGGTGTGACTGCCCCCCGCCACCAGTGTCCTCCGGATTTTACCCGGACGCGAGAACCAACCTCAGTCTCCTGCAGTCCCAAATGTGGCCGGGATGCTTACTACAGACATGAGGTGTGTAGGTGGAAATGTAAATTTAGTCCTCAGTGACTAATATTACTATAGAAGGTTATGTTACTTTTGGTATCACCAAGTAACCCTGTTCATGTAGTTTGTTACCATGGTTTAAAAGACTTAATGCTTTCATTGTTAAGTCTACATGAACAGTGAAGACATAAAACCATGGTAGTCTACAAGCTAACTGCAAGATCAAGGTCACTTAGTGATACAACAGGTAACATAACCTACTACAGTATTGTTAAAATAATCATAGTGATCCAGATGCTAGGCCACAATGAAATCAGAGACTAAGTTGTACTTTTAACTATTGATACAGTATCAGGTCCATTACCAAGTTGAAGCCAGTTTTAGATTGAAAATTAGCGTCGAATTGAGACAGCTGATGCAGGTGTCAAAGTGCTATCCATAAAGGAATAAATATCTGAAGATTAACACCAGTATAGCAAATGCATAGAATAGTAGATAGTAAACCAAATTCCTTTTAACTTTTCAAATATCCTAACGTTGGTCTATTTATAACCGAGTCTAGATAACAGAATAAGGTTATTGTGCTCACTGAATTTGAAGGCCTCTGTTGCGATCCGAACTAGGATATGATTGGTTCTGTGCCCACATGCCATTTGTCATTGGACTATTAATTGATGCTATCAAAATAAGGTCAACACTACCTTCGGATCATACCTTTACAAAGGATGTAAACATGAGAATGGTATTACATTAAACACAAATTAATATATAAATCCCTGTTACAGGACAAGTTATTTGCTGAACGCTGGATGACAGGCTGGGCCTGGTTGTGTTTTGTCTCTACTCTCTTCACACTGTTGACATTCTGGGTGGAGCCTGCGAGGTTTCGCTACCCGGAACGTCCCGTTGTGTTCCTGGCTCTCTGCTACAACGCAGTGTCTCTCGTGTACATCATCCGAGGCTCTGTGGGTCCCGAGGCCTTCACCTGCACCTCCGCCACGGACGGGGACGACAGCTACGTAGCCAAAGATGGCCTGGAGACTGCTCCGTGTACTGTGGTGTTTCTCCTGCTATACTACTGCGGATTGTCTGCTAGTGTTTGGTAAGTTTTAAGCTTTCACTCAAATTAAAATATGTTTTTCGTTCAGATTATACAGGTTTGCCTCAGTGCAAAGATATTTAGAATCGAGTTCAAGTAAACCACAAGGGTTGTGTTGATAGCATAGTGGTTAGCGTTTTGGATTTTTAGTTTTATTATGATGTCAAACTCATATTAAAGGTAAGAAAAGTACAATGTTGACAATAAAAGTTCTAGGGGTACACCACACCAGAAAAAACAAAATTAAGATGTTACAGTATTTTTGTGGTGGAGATTCTACTCTCAGAATTTGTAAACGAAGGAAAATATGAGGGTTATCTGTGTAAGTTAAGTACAAGCTCCTGTCACAGCCAAGCCAGCTAGTTCAAATCTGACACCAACCCTGATTTATTAAATTGTCATTCACCACCATTTTAGGCAGATTCCACCTATGTACAAAGATAAGTGTCATCATAGTAGCCAAAAAGGATGTGAAGGAAAATCAACACTTCCACTAATAATGAATTAGGTTTCCATGGGGTACTTGTTATAAAAGAGTCTATACATTAAAGAATAAGGATCAGAACTAACTTACCCAAGAAAAGATTTCTAAAGCAGATAAATAAAATCACATTTTGTTTGTTAAAAGTTTAAGTATGAAAATTCACAGCTTTTTGTTTTTTGTGTTTTGAACATAATTTGTTTTTTTGCCCAAGCTCTTTTTTGAGCAAGTTCATTGTGTGTATCAATTTCTTCCTCAACGTATTTCTGAGCCAAGTGCTTTTTTATTCAATTCTAAAAACTGATAGTGATCATTAGAATGTTCTTATCACTTACTATTGTTTTACGTTTCAGGTGGGTGGTGTTAGCCACAGCATGGTACCTCTCAGCAGCCAAGAAGTGGAGCAGTGAGGCAGTACATGGCCTAGCCTCGTACTTCCACGTGGCCGCATGGGCGTTCCCCGCAGTCCTGGCACTCCTGGCCCTCGCACTACATCGTGTCTCCGCCGACGAACTCACCGGGCTGTGTCAAGTAGATGAGTTGTCCTCCATCACTTTCCTGGTGATTCCCCATGGAGTTATGTTGGGTCTCGGCTGCATCGTGGCATGTCTCGGTGCAGCGGCTTTGGTCAGAGTGAGAACCGAATTGAGGCAAGCGGGAGGAAGTACAGCTAAACTTGAACGTTTGATGACTCGACTGGCTGTGTTTACAGCGCTGTATGTACTCCCTGCGTTGGCAGCATTGGCTTGTCTAGTGTACGAGGCGTGGCATCGCCCCAGGTGGCGTTCTCTGGCACTACTCTCCGCCCTGGACTGTAGTGCTGCTCCTGGCTGTCCCCCGGGACCCTCCTATCACTCTGCAGGTGTGGAGGTTGTGCTGCTACGAGTGTTCCTGTCACTTGTCGTGGGAGTGACGTCTGGGATGTGGGTCTGGTCTGGTAAGACCTGTAGATCTTGGAGTAAACTGTTCACAGCTCCGAGAAAGGCTCGGCCTGTCCCCATAACTAGAGTGTGATATTGTAAATATTATATATGTTCATGTATATTTACTGTAAATGTTGTAATATTTTGTGTTGTACTTTTAATGATACTGAATAGACTGAATTTGTAAAAAATATTTATTTTAAAATCTTTAATTGAAAATGCTGTCTGTAACAGTGTAATGTTCTGATGTTATTTTAAAGTGAAAATTTGTATTTCTTGTGCCAAATTGAATTATTTCCCAATCAAGTTAGCCTGATATCCTGACAAAAAATATTAAAAACCTTGTATTAAAGTTGTGTAGTTTAGTTGCCTTCTTCATTCGTTTGGTGCTTGCTGTGTATTTATCGTTTAATTTTTACACTCTTCAAGTTTCACCTAACCAAAAGTACCACTTGCTTTATAAAAATAGAAATAGATTTCACTATTAAGTTTGTAAAAATGTAAATCCTTTGGTAATTTAAGTATAAATAATGTTCTTTTACAAACTAGGATTATATTATCTATTATTTTTTAACAGATGATCTTACATTAGTGTAAATAAAAATGTGCCTTATTTATTGTACAATATGAAACGCTTATCAACTTGACAATTAATTGTAAATATATACAGCAGTTTGAAAGGTAAAATATCGGTGGTTTAATTTCTTTGATCCAGTTTCATTGTATGATTGTTAAATGTTTAGTATAATTAATTTTTAAAATAACATTCATAACAAGGAATTGATTATTCTCAATACTTTGTTTTGTGACTTTGTATTTGATACAGGGTCAAGAATATTTGCTACTGGTTTTTCATTCTCAGTACTTTCTTTAAGAACATCTTGATTCTTGACCACTTGATCCCTTTAGCATAATTATTAGATTGTCCAAACTTCCAGAAGAAACAAGAATAATATGTCCTATATTTTGAAGTCTAGGAATAAAATAATTCAGTTCAAGTCAAAATAGATAGTTATTCATTGTTAGTTAAAAACATATAACATATTTCAATTTCAAAATTTCTTGATGAATTTAATGAACCAAAACGCAACTGCTACATTTTTTTTGAAGTTGTATCACAGATGAAATGATAATTATGTTTGAGACCTAATAAAGCAGGGTCATCAAACACAGATCAATAAGTTTTGGGAAGCTTTTTCCAATGTTAAATGAGGAAAAACATGGAAAATCATATTATATGCTGTTAATATGTATTTTTACCTACGACCGTTTTTTAAAGTAGCCATTTCAGTTCAGTTCTTAGAATTGAAAAGTTTCACTTAACAGCTGTTTACTTTCATATCAGCATAGTTTCATTTCATATCAGCATAGTTTCATTTCATATCAGCATAGTTTTTCTCATATCAACACGGGTAACGGACCAATGAGGTTCAAGGATTGAGAGAAAAGTACAATTGTAATACTTCGAACGTCAACTAATCAGCTGATCAGTTGACAATTTTAATTGTTGATCAGTTGGTGGAAGTTAAATGAAGGTTGATTTTAAAATATCAGTTAGTGAAAGTGATGTTGACGAGATAGAAATGAGAGCACAAACTGTTTGTGCTAATCTTTTGCCACCAAAATCAAAACAAAGGTACCATATGCAATTACATACCAGCAATTCATTAAATGGACGAAACAAAATAAGGTTAAATTGATAAATGAAAATGTTCTTCTGGTTTATTTTGAAAACCTCTTAACCACTTTTTCACCCAACTCGTGGACCACATATTCGATGCTGAGATCTAACTGTAAATTAACTGTTTCACTATATTATTCAGTTGTCCAAAAATATATGCAATATTTCCCTAATTGTACCTGATACAGTATTTATGGTAAGAATGCTGCTAGCAGAACCTATTGCCTGAAAAAGTAACGTATTATTTAACAAAGTTTTACAAACACGTAATTACATGAAATCAGCTTTATGAGTAGTGATTGTTAGTAATAAAAAACCAGATTTTTAGTAATTAAAAAACGGTCGTAGGTAAAGCGGTGTACGCAACTCGCGTTAATAGTCTTTACGACACTCGTAGAAGTTTTTAAGGCACTCGCCAAGGCTCGTGCCTTAAATTTTCTACTCGTGTCGTAAAGAATAACTTAACGCAATCGTTGCGTAAACTACTATTGTAATTCAAGGAAAAGCATGTATAAACACTGATTTAGTTGAAATTAACACGTTCAGTGCGGCAGGCATTCCAACAGGCGCTCGCCAATGACTGTGAGGCCCGGGCAAAGCCCCGGCGCGGCACCGCGACAGCGAACGCAATTAATTGGCATTCAAATATTTCAATCTGACGAATATCAAAAGGACAGCGGTGATTGTACTACGTTCCCCTGAGATTGGACGTAGTTCCCTAAAACACCCAAAGGTAGCATTGCCTGGATCAGTAGTCAGTGGCCTTGTAATATGGCTTGAAGAGAGAAAATCCCCGAAACCGGGACAAAAGCATTGTCAGACGGGATTTTAGTACAAACCTACACCAAAATAAAGTTCACATTCTAAGCTACAGGCTAGCAACGGTTTTAACGTTCCCCGGCAATGGCTGAGCTCATACTGAACTATTGTAGTGGGGATTGCGCAACTACATCAATTGATGTAGGCCGGTTGGAGCGCTCGTCGCGCGACTACAGTAGACTCCCTCTTATCCGGACACCTTTTAACCGGACTACACTCGGTGGAAGTGACATCTCTTTAACCGGACAATTTTTATCAGCACATTGGTTTAACCGGACTAGATTGGCCGGAAGTGGGCAGTACTGAAATGTCTGTTCTCGTGGGAAAGATTTGAGAACACTGATCAAGTGTCTTAATACAACGCTCTCCTACATTTAAGTTGAAAATCACAGTAAACAGTCCGTTTTAATGAGTTTTTGGGGCTGTCGGATTAATCGGAAAACCCGTTATCCGGACTGGCCTCGGTCCCGAGGAGTCCGGATAAGAGGGAGTCTACTATACATCAATTGATGTAGTCAGCACTGAACGTGTTAAATATTTAATATTTGGGTTTGCATACATATCATAATACAAAAAAAATGGAGAAAGCTTGAACAATTCAATATATTTCACCAAGTAAGATAAATGAATTGACACAGTGCTGTATTTCTTGAGCAATCCTTGAAAGAACCGATTTGCAAACTATGGAAACATAGAAGAGTCATAAAACGCCGCCAAGTAGAAGAAATAGGGATAATGTTTTTTAAAGAATTCAGTATTGTTCTTAGCCTATATAAAATGAAAAACGCACAAGGTGAAGATTCCTACAAACGATGAACGAGGATGTTAGCCGAAGTGCTACTAATTTTAGTAGGAAACGTGGATAAACTTTGTGATATATTGCAGAGGAAACCCCTAAGGCTAAATTAAACTGGTACGGCAAGGACATTAAATATATGTTTTCATAAAAGTCAAGTAATTTTAGAAGAATATGACTACATCCAAGAAACCTTTACTAAAACTTTCATTGAAACATTACTATGCCCAGTCAAGGAAACAAAAAAAAACCAACTGAACAACATTAGGCCTTTTAACTCTCCATTTTCTCAGGTAAATATAATTGACGTTATTACAGCAACTTACCAAAAGAATGCCAATTGAAGCAAATAAAATTGTGACAGAGGTTATGCAGGAAATCAGGTACTGGTACGTAGTTCTTAAGTAATGTGAACAAATTTTATCGCTATTTTTTTTTTTATTACTGAAATTTGTAAACATACTGGCAACAATGGTGGTACCAAGCAGGCTACATTATCAATGACGATTATAATAATGTACAACCCAATGCAGTTAGTGGAAAACAATTAGTAGAAAACACTAAAAGATCAGCTTTTGAAAAATGATCAAATATCTACAAGAAATATTCATTATATCGAACTGGTATGGACATTGTTAGTATTTTCATTAATCATTACCGTAGTTAAATAATCTTTAAGTTGACTCTTTTAAAGTTATCGGAAATTATGAGTGTTTTTCCGTTTTTTGTTTTCAAATAACTCCTGTAATGCTTGCAACTGCTTGAATTCGCATGTACTAGCATATACACTAGTAAATGATATAGTAAATAGCCTTATTACTAACTTAATTAAGATTTTTTTTTTTTTTGCTATTACGATTCATTAAAACGGGAAAAATCTCCTTGATATAAAATTACCAGTTTTTGCATTACTAATAAGCTCTGACATCCTTGAATTTAAGCCAATGATCATTTTCAAAACCATTGGTTGCTAAACCAACTTTTAAATGTTTCCAACAATATATGTATGTGAAGACTATAGGTTAAAGACATGTTAATCAATAATACAATCTTTTATATACAAAATAATAATTTATATTTCAATTTAAAATTACATAACTTCCAAATTAGTGCAAGTTATATAATTATAGTTTCATTCATATTACTAAATTTTTACTCAAATTTACAGTTAATAAAAATTAAAACAAATAAATACATGCACAAAACGTATGAAGCTGCTTAAAAAAATTACCTTCAGATAAAATCAGTTTTGTCCAAACAAGTTTTTCAAACAAAGTTATCATTTGCTTTTGAGCAATTAGGATATCTCATTACACAAAGCTGATAGTAAACATAAACAAATTCTAAAACATAACACCCAGTGTTTTATATAGTTTGTAAAAACTTTAATTTTTAAACAAAGTATCACATTTTATCCTATAGACATTTTGACACACAAGTCACATTGACGACAACATTGTGATGATCATTTGCGCGATATAAGTTGTCAGTAAAAAAAGATTTAAAAAATCACAATACTCGTTAGATTAATCACTGATCAGTATAAAACCTATGACCACTGAGTTATAATAGGCTACTAGCACTAACAACCACATTATGGAGAGTGAGAGATGATAGTCAGTCTTGTGATCCTACGATCCTAGCAGTTACCATTCAACAAGTGGCGAGTTTACCTGAAACCTCTTAAACATAAAACAACCAATGATCAGGACATTGTGAAGTACGATCACACATTTCAGCAAAACTAATCTCATTAATGTCTTGTAAAAGAACATACCTTGATTCAAAAGTCAACAAATAACAAGTTACAACAAAAATTAAAAACCTTCAACATAATTGATACCAATATACGACGTAATCGATTCCGCTTAAATGAGATAATCGAGATGAGGTATTCAGTTTCCACTTTCCCATTTGAGTAAAGGACACACTATTACTGTACAAGTATGTATATCCGCTAAACAATAAATTACATGTATACAATATATTATCAAATTTACAAATAAATAACTACTTAGAGCTAGAATATTCGTTCGTAAAATAGGAGGTAAGCTTGAGTCTTGAGCACGGTATTTTCGTCGACGTCACTAACGCGGGAGTCGCTGATGTAATACCATCGTCCTGGCGGAGGTTGTCCTGGTCTTCGGTCTGCGTGGGATCTAACCTGTGACATAATCAGCCAAGAGTTAGGTTTACTTTATTTATTTTGTGCTTCTTTCAAAGAAAATTATAATTTTAATGATTTTTTTTCAAGGTAACTTTCCAAACCTTTCTAACTAACTTTTTACTTTCTGATTAGAAAAATTATATGGTTCAAATTGTCAATTCAGGACCAAGATGCCATTGTACCACCAATTCAGAACATTTGCATCTAGTTTCAAGAATCGACACTTTTTGGGAAGAACCAGCTTTCTTTAAATTTCAAGGCAAGGACTATAAGCACTCAACTACCCAGACTGTCACTAATATTTTTTTTTGCGTTTTCTACACCAATGACATTTTTACGTTTTAAAAGGGAACGGTCCAGAATCTGGTCTTGTTACTATCCAACGTCAACCTTTTTGTTGGACAGCATTATTAATTCATTGTTCAATGACAAATGGCATCTAGGTCTGGAAACAATCTTGTTTGGAATCAACCCAGCAACCTTCAGATTTGAAGGCAAGAACTATAACCACTATACACATTATAATTAGTCGGGGCCGACTTCTAAAATTATTTTCAAACAAATGGAGCACGTCTAAAAATGTTACCTGATTAGTGAATTGAACTTTTGATGTTATCTAGCAGCCAACAAGAGCTTGAATACAGTTTTAACGAAGTTAAATAATAGTAGCCTAGCTAATAAAATAATAATTACATAGACCGCCCACATAGACTACAGACCTGTGCGTAGAACGTATCCAGCAAACCAAGGGGTGAGCCGGTACAGTACGAAGGTTAACTGTATTGATAAAATGTTTGCGGCAGTGACAAGTATCCGAACCCACGACATCGCTGCCTTGGGCCCGAAGTCTGTGACGCTACCAACTGAGCCACCGACTCACCAAAATTTGATTGCATTTAGCATATTGTATAAGGTTTTATTTTTTAGTTGTTTTAAAGAGCATAGCAATCTAATGATTCACTTTTATCTACCGTAATTATTAACTAGAGTTATAGCTAGAGAGAACCATAAACAATTACAAGAAAAATTCTGTATAAATCGTTTAAAGATAAATTTTGTCAATCAACAAGGTACTTGAGATATTATTTACCTTGACATAGGCTACATAGTGTCCTCCATGTAGAGTTCCACTGTGCTCGACAACACCGTACAATGAATAGAGAATTGGTTCATTCTGGAAACAAAATATAAATCATCAGATTACAATGGCAAATAAGACATACATATAAAAATATTTCAGAACACATGATAGCCAAAATTTTTCAATTTTGCTTATATTTCAATTAAAGACTGTTGGAAAGGCATCTTGTAATGTTTTAATTTAATCTTAGCGCTTTAAATTACAATCCACACAAAAACTCTACTCAGTAGCTAAAAAGTACCATAATGTGAACATCAGGTTAAATAATTTATAAATAAGAATACTTTTTAAAAATGCCACGTTTTTAAACACACTAAAAAGTAGAAAATAATTTATAAATATGTTGAGATAATAAATATTTGTAAGATTTAAAACGAAAAACGTAGGGCGCATGCAATAGATCATAATAGTTCAATAGGTGTAGTTAATTGTAAATTAGCATGTGCCCCATGTTTTTCATATTTACAAATATTTATTCTCTCAACATATTTATAAATTATTTTAAACTTTTTTGTGCGTTTAAAAACGTGGCATTTTTAAAAAGTATGACTTCCAGCTACAGAAGCAAAACAACAAGGTAGCGAGCAGACCTTATTGACTATTGATGCATAAGCTAATGGTTCCAAGTCTGAAAAACCTAGTCCAAAAACTTCTGCAAAAAAAAGGGAAATCTTCTAACGTTTCGATCATTGCAAAATGCAAACAGCCCAGCTCATTTATTCGGGAACTAATGTTGTTTTATAATGACCTTTTTAAATATTTACTTTGTACATTTTACTTAATTTTATACAACTGACTGGAAATACATTTTTATGAGGATTTGCTAAGATATACATAATACAATACTGATTTAGAGCTCAAACAGTGCTAGTTTAATAGCTGCAATTTTAGTTCTTCCAAAGAAACCGTCTTGTAGGGGTGAAATATCAAATTAATTATGTGTGGAACTTTTGTGTGCTGTCAAAACCACCTGGAACTCTGTTCTAGGGTAAGTTAGTTGTGTCAATTCCTTCTTCCTTAAAGCATTTCCATGTTAGTACTCTTTTCCTCCACAAACTATCCTTCAGTTATTCAAAATTTTAACAAAGGTAAAAGTGACTTTTTAAGCCTAGAAGTCTGTGATTTACCTCATTTATGGAACAAAACTGTGCTACGTCCAGTACTAGAGGGAAGTCGACATGCCGTGATATCTTCTTAAACGAACATCTTTGCACCTGGAACCTCTTCAGATGAAAGATGATGACTGGAGGTAGCTTACTGATGAGCAGTTGTTTGGTAGAGTTCTGGTAAACTGGCTTGCCTTCTTTATTACCTACGTGAAACATAAATTATCAGAGTAAATAAATGGGATCAATGGGTAAGAAAAAACAACAAATTAATATTAATTAAATGTTTAGAGAAGTCTCTTGGAATGTTTTAAGACATTTAAGATGTTAGTTACTTGTTCGAAATGAGACTGACTCTACAACTTTCTTTTTAAAAGACTCTACAACTTTTTTTTTAAAACATCCTCCTCCATTTAGGCACAAAGAGCAGGGTGACACTAATACATGGTTTGCACACCAGCATACTATTTCTGGACTTTAGTCTTGTTCATCATAATAACGTCAATAATAAAGCTAAGCTTTGTTTGCCATAGATATGCTGGCCATAACCTTACATCAGAATTTTAAAAAAATGTGCCTACTGGTAGACATTCGATCCCCATGTTAAAGTTGTTGAGCTATAGCAACTATTATGACCCATCAAGTTTGTCAGCAACAAAAAGTAAGGTAGCAAATAGAATTTTAGACACTAGTAGAGCATTCTGTGACTGGCTCACACAACTACATTTTGTTTAGTAAAATACCCCCGCCGCAGCAAACCTGCAGACTAAGTGAATTTCCATTTGACTGATTTGATTTACACTGAAATGTCTACTTAAAAATATAACATTTATTCCCGATTTAAATAGAATTAGTTTAACAAGTACTTAGGTTTGCTGCATCAGGGAGGTAAAACTGTTTTTTTTTTAGTGTTAATAGTTAGTAAGAAATAAAAACATTTTCCAAATTTGATCAAAATATGTTCATAAACAAGCAAACTACAACAGTTTACTTATTCTCCATAAGAATAACATGGGAATTTTAAATTTACAATTTTTTGGAATTTTCTCCGTAACCATTAGGCGCATAATAACGCTTCAATATATTAAATTTTTTTTTTTAAGCTCTACAAAATGGTTTGGAAAGAAAATGCTAAATTTTATGTTTTTAGGGTCAAAAATGCGAAAAACCTATTTTTACCCCATAAAACCCCCGTTCCCATGGTCCGATCATGCTGGATCGCGAACCCGTTCGAATAAACGTAGGTTTACACGTTTGTACCAAATTTAATCAAAATCGGATCATTTTTGCTCGAGTTATCGTGCTAACGGACATATATATATATATATATATAAATATATATATATATATATATAAATATATATATATATGAATTTGAACGGATGGTGTTTTTGGCCTCTAGGGACCTCGAAACGAAAAAAAAAATCGGTCCCGCGTCCAGGTCTTACCATGAGTACTACGGTAATAGCTTATTCCCTATATGGGAAATTCGCTAAAATTGGCAACAGCTGGTCCATATATATGGGATGTCTACTTCTGTATCCAATAGTCAATGCTACTGGTGTACTTCACCAACATTTTACACGCCATATTTCTAGTGCGGACTTGGGCTGCCTCAAGTTAGGGTGGCGAGGACTATAGACTTAGTGCAACAGAACCAGGCAATGTACTGTTTAGACTGTATGACGATTCTAGTACCAGTATTTCAAATGTACAAACTGTGATGTTTAATTTAGTCTTAAGTGGCTTAATAACGGGGAAAGTTAAGACGACAAGTAGCTGGCTGCAAGTACTTGATTAGTATGCAGTAAAGGCAACTGACAAGTGCTTGCAGCCAGCTACTTTTCCGTCAATAAACCGCTTTTTTCATAAGGTCCAAAGAACATAGATAGTCTACGTTTTTCTCACTGTACTTTTGGATACTATCACACAATTTTAACATTATACGTTGAGACACTGGTCTTAAACCTTTGTGTGACAATTAGATCCAATGCAACACTTTTGTGACAAACCCTGTCTAAAGTCTAGTGTACCTTTGTTGAGCCGCTCAGTGCAAGCTTCGCAGTGTGTTTTGTTGGCACCGGCAAGCACCTCGATGCAGGTGAACTGGGTGAGACAAGAATGCAGTGAGCATTCGCCCTCTTCGATCCTCTGTCTGGGGAAGTAGGACGTTGAGGTAGAGGGGGAGTATCGAGGGATGGCAGGAAGAGACGGCACAGAAGGAGAGGGGTGTACAAACGTATACGGGGCAGAGAACAGCTGTGTAGGGGGTTGAGGAGGGGGGAGAGGGATCGCACCCTTGAAACTGCCGACGTGTGTTGGAGAATCAGCTGTTAACAAACAAGGTATAAGTTATGTGAACAAATCACAATTCCAGTAAAGAATACTACAAGTGACCACAATCCTGTAAAAGCTTTATACAATTGAGCTAACTCTGTAATGCGGGTGCGGTTTGTATATTAAGGTCTCCAATAGTGATGGTCAAAACCAGAAATTTCAAATCTCAAAACCAAAAAAACCTAAACTTAAAAAATCGAATCCCGAATCTCGAATCTCAAAACCCAAAGGCGAAACCTTTTTACTTAGCTGGTTACAAAGGTCAAGGTTACAAAAAATACACATAATCATAAAATGTTGTATGCAATCAAAACTGAAAGAGATACTCCTGACCGTGACATAACATAAAATATGTGAATATGACTGATAATCTTAAAACCCAATACAACATGATTGTTCATAAACAACCAACAAAAAAATAAATTAAACTTCTAACACCAACATAAACATGAATATTAGATTAATTAGAACATTTAGTGATCAATATTTCTTTGTGTTTAGTATTGATGTGAAACTAAGTTATACCAGTTATAGTATTTAAGATACCTTTTGAAGTTCAGAATCAAATTTTCTTGTTTCATTACTGATAATGGTTTGCTCTGTTGCTACCAGCTTGTTTGGAAACAGTGTTAAAAACCATTACAATAGCACAAAAAAACGTCAGCAGTTTCAAAAATAAAACTGTCAAAATCTTCAATTTCGAAACTTTTGAATCTCGAAACTTGGTGATCGAATCTCGAAATCAAAACTTTTCCTAAGTTTTGATGGTTTTGAGATTTGAGATTCGGTTTTGACACATCACTAGTCTCCAACAAGGAGCTCTAAACTAGGTCAAGTAAGATTTGAACAAGCTCAATTGACCGCATTGGAGTTTGTTGAACACTTAAATTTATAGACAACTCTCATAGTTTTCAAATGAAAATACAATCGAAATAAAACGCTCGCAAAGATGTGTTGCTGAAGTTAAGTCTACTTGGGTATAGTTGAGAATTATAGTTTTTTTACGTTTTGTCTATCCTTGAAAATGTATTTTGTTTCTGCAAGTCTTTGAAATAAGAAAAGCTAATGCCAAAGAAATGTATTTTTTCGGTGTTTGAGTAGCAACAAAGCTTAGATAGAATGGAAGAATGGTTGAAGAGAGCTTCTAGAGTTTTTGTGAGGTGATTTTAGAAGTATTGTATACAAAAAAGTAAACAAAGCTAATAAGTTATATTCTAAAATGTCCTAAAATCTTAACAAAATCAATCTCAAGAACATTAATTTAGCCTATATTGAGAAATTTTGTTATTAAGGAATACAATTTAGTCTCAATTTTAACCCAAAAGGATTTCAAATAGTCTTTTTGATAAGTGGGTGAAGTGTTTTGTTATCCAGCTTCCACTGATAATTTGCTGAGGCGTATAAAAATAAAAATGTAAAAAAGCTTTATGAAAATGCACCAAATTGTAATACGCCAATGTGCAGTAACTAGAATATAATCGAAAAGGATGTTTTTGCAGTTATAGGGATGTAAAAAGATAATACACATATTTCTTATCACTAAAGTTCTGTGAAAACGTAAATGGGGTGAAATGTAAGCCCAGAATAGTGTAGAGTGCTTCATGAAATTGCATATTTGACGGTACCCGTATCGTACATCTCATCAAGTTACCTGTGTCAACTTTCACATCCTCTGCACCATCAGTGTCCATATCAGCACAAGTCATTCCCTCCAGGGAGAGTTTTAACAGTCCAGAGTCCAATTCCGTTATCTCTCTGGGTTCCACAGGACTGCTTCGATTCCGACATTCCATTCTCGACTCCGGTCTCTCGTCGCTACCACTGTTGTCTTCTCGACTTTTAACCGGACTGTTGAGAATCATAGACACATTCTCGGGGAGGCTGTTGCAGACGGACATTTCGTTGCTGTGTTGCAGACTAGCACACATACTCATGTTGTCATTACTACCAGGACTGTTCTTCTGTGAGTGTGATCCAGATCCGCACAGAGGACTGAGTGAAACACTCAACGAACTACTGTCTTGACTCAGCAATTTCACATCACCGCTGCAGTTCCAATCATAGATCATCGTGTTGCGGTCTACCTGGCTGTCACTGCTCGGAGGTAGTTTGTAATCTGAGGAACTCGACAAAGACAAGTCTACGTTTCTAAAACTACTTTGTTGACTGTCTGAGCTTATATCCGGAGATCCGTTGGAGGCGTTGACTCGTACAGAGTCTTGACTGTTACACTCTGTGTTTATTTCTTCTGGTATTGCTACTGTCAACTCCTGGATGGATCCTAGACCAGACTCTGCTCTCTTGGCCAGTAGAGTTTCAGGGTCCTCAGATGAGTACACGCCTGGTATCACATTACTGGCTTGATTCTGCAGCACAGGCGATGTTGTAGTTTTCTCGTCCTCGGGACTCTGGGTTGTAACTGGACTACCCCGGGCGGACATCTGTTTTTCTGAGCTGTATCCAGACTCTACAATCTCTGTTTTCTGATCTTGTTCCTCGCAGGCGTTGTCTTCGTTGTCCTCCACGTCCGCATCACTCTGCTCTCCATCCTTGGAATCTGTTAAAAAGAGAAATTATTAGGATTTAAAAATGCCCAAGTATGGTATGGTAGAACTCAAATTATTCAAACCAACCATCCGGATCACATCCAAGACAAACAAGAAAATCAACCAGAAAATTAAGTTCATTACTGTTTACAGTTTGCAGCACTATACATATCTATAAGTATAAAAGAGGATGTTGGTATATTTGGCAGTGATAAACTCAGACACCGCTGGACCGATGGCCACAAAACTTGGTATATACGTGTAGAATTTCATGGAATAGGTTTATACACCATCAATTTCGTGATCTGTCCAATCGGCTCCGCCACAGTGGCTCTGGAGTTTCCCATGTTAACCTTATGAGAAATGGAATTAATGAATCTTAACAGCTGTTTCAATTAAACAAGTTGGTTCTGTTCTATGATGTTCAATAGCATTAAAGTTACAAGGATTACAACAGGGTGCAGCACTATTATTTCTTTTACATTTATGACAACAGCTAATTTGCAACCAAAAGGTGAGTGAGCGTAGCGAACGAACTTCAACCTGGAGGCGAGTTAGCGTAGCGAACGAGCTAACCTGAAGGCAAGTGAGCGCAGCGAACGAGCTCCAACCTAAAGGTGAGTGAGCGTAGCGAACGAGCTCCAACCTAAAGGTGAGTGAGCGTAGCGAACGAACTTCAACCAGGACGTGATTGAGCCATGCGAACGAGATCATCTTGAAAATTAAGAAGTTAAACGGGGCAAAGCCCGCGGGTTACAGCTAGTTTGTATATAAAAAAGAAAGAAATGTAGTACTGGATAATGCTTTTTTTTGTTTGCACTATATTTTTTTAAACGTACATATTAGTTAACTGCTTTTGTTCTTTTTAATTAAAGAAAATGTTTTCCAAGTAACCAGAAAGGGTTTAGTCTCTATTGATCCGGATGCTTTGAGTTCTACTGTAGTATGAAGAGTCCATATATATATTTAATTTGTGCAAATTTTAAGAGTATCTCTAGAATATTGTTAAGAGTCATTCATTTGTTTAAAACCAAATCTTTTCAGAAATATTGTAGAAAGTGGCTCTTGATATTCTTACAAAAAGACTTATTGCCAAAGGAATATTTCTACTAAATCGAATACAAAAAGAATAAAGAATTGAGGATGAAAAGAAGAAAGGATTTGAGGAAACATTTGTATATACAAAGTCTAGATAATGAAGAATATTGCAATTGCCTGAGATTTATGACAAAATCAAGCTATTAAAAAAAACTAGAATCTTGCGCTTTTCTCGAGCGGAGCTTCTGTACATAATGAATGTGTTAAAAGTTTATAGGCCTATATCCCTGACAAGTTTATTTGTCCATATTACCATCTTAAAATACATTTTAATGTTATGCTGCATAGTTAAATATAATTTTGATGCCTAGGCCTATTACTACAGTGATGAAACAAGTAAGGATTATAATCCATGTCACTGAACTGTCAATCAGTCTTGTCACACTCAACAAAAGCAAAAACTACAAATATACCTTTTTTATCTTCTTCCTCAATGGTGAATTCTCCATTTTTATCTTTCTTGCCTTGTCTCTTAGCATTTTTTCTTGCCACCTTTGCTTCCTTCTTCAGTTGATGTTTTGATTTAGTATCCTTCCGCTCAAGAGAACCATGTTCCTCCTCCACAGGGCTGTTGCAGTTTTGTTTCTTTCGGACAGTCGGAGGTTGAGCCTACAACAAATTGAGTAGAAGATTATGTTGGAAAATTTTGGAGAACTATATTTCAATAGAATAATTATAGTTGTTAAAAATATATTTGACTAAGCCTTAGGCGCTCATTATTATCTAGGAGTCTGGAGTTGGAAAATTTGAGATAAGCAAAGTTCAGTAAGGTACAAAATTGTATAATTAAATTAGTACTTAATTAATCGGTAGGGATGGACGAGATTAGATTTTTAGTTCGAGACGAGACGAGACGAGATTTTTTATTTCTCATAAAATTTCGAGACGAGATCGAGACGAGATTTCTCTTCTCATACACAACGGGAAATGCACGTTTGAAATTTTTACCTGATTTTGTAACATTGTTAGATGACCTTTTAAATACTAAAATAATGATAATAGGCAAGAATATTTACAATCTTTCATTAAATAACATCAGCATAACATTTTTTTATTAATCACGCCTAACTTATTAAAAATGCCTACGATTAGGAAACATGGTGATATCAGTTAGGATAGAGTTCAACTTATCCTAAAATAAAATAAATCATAAAATAAAAGCAATATTAATTTTTATAAAATAGTTACTTGTTTTGACTTTTTTATAGTAATAAAACATTCCTCACACTGCTTACACTTAACAAAACTTCTCAAATGTTATTAAAGTAATATTATTAAAATAATGAAAGTAATATTTACATTAAAAGAATTAAAGTAATATTTACATTAAAAGAATTAATTAAATAAGAACGCCTTCGAAAAGGAAACGCAACTACAACACGCTCCTGTATTGCGGGTATTGCATTGACTTTCTGCAGGCGTTTTTAATTTTTTTTTTTTTTTTTTTTTTTAATTCTCGTCTCGATAAAAATCTCGGCCAAAAAGTAATCTCGTCTCGTGTAACGAGATTGAAAATTTCCCGAAAATTTCCTGAAATTTCGAGACTTGACCATCCCTATTAATCGGTGAAGTACACAACAGTTACAATATTTCAGGTGTACTATTCAGTTTTCAGCAAGCTCAGGTAAAGTGAACAAAACATATTAAATCTTAGTTAAAATTAGAGATCTGTGGGTAATGACATTTTAGATTCAGGTCAAGTACTATATCGGGTTTGTACAGTACTTATTCAAGCTGGGGATTAAGAAAGTAAAATTTTATCTAAGGTATTTGTTTTAGGCTATATATTTTTTATTGGAAAATTTAAAATATTGGTTTGTTGTGGTGTTTTACTTTGTTATGAAAAAAAGAATTTAAAAAACTGTAGCAATAGGAATTTTCTTGATTTTATTCCATCTTGACTTAATAATTCATATTGTAGCTATATGTCTTGTAAGAGTGTTTAACTACCTACTTAAATTTCCTGGTAGACTTATTCTTATAATAACTTTATACAAGCCTTTTCCTATCATCACTCAAGTCTCTGTTATTAAATTACTAGTTTCAGACACTATAGCTCCATTTTAGAATTTCAAAAGTTTGCCAAAATTATGAACACAAAATTAACATTTTAACAAAAATTGCAAATTGGCATTTCGTAACAAACAAACAAAACAAAGTCCAGCCACAGTACCAATTGCACAGATAGTGTTGTGTTTTAATTTAAACCATTTTTACTATCTTCTTTTGAAATTTAAAAAATGAAGCTATAAAGCTCACAACTATAAATCTAATGATATATAGTGCAATGATGACAACGAGGTACCTAACTTATAAACAGAAATAGCATGAAAAGTCAATCTCTTACCTTCTCTTGGGCAACTGGAAGACTAAGGTCCAAAAACGGTTCTTCCCGCTCGGACTTGTTGTAGCAGACAGTGCACTGTAGGATGCTGACCAACGACCCTTTGAAAACCTGGTCAGGCCGGATGGGGATCGTGTCACACACCAACTGGTTCACTGACTTGGCAAACTTCTTCTTGTCTTCCTCCAGCTCGTCCAAGTTGTTGTTGTTGTAGCCGATGTGGTCAAGTATTGCTTTCTGGTACCTCTGCAAAATTAATGGATATTGTATTAATCTGGTCACTTATGCAGTGGACTCTCTGATTCGGATTTGCTTGCACCTTAACGTGGTTCTGATTTTGGATGATTGTAACAACCTCCTGTTGAAACACACTCTACCATTTCATGGTGTCTACTAAATCAGGTTTAAAAATTTCAAGATTTCAAGACAAATTCCTGAATTTTAAGAATTTTATTCCCTACTTTAAGCTTTATCACGCCGTTTTATATTAAGTAAAAACTTTTAAAAGATTTTTTTTTTAATTCATCATTTTTATCACACAGGTAATGCATTTAACTAATGTATTTAAAAATTTACTTCAGAAATAGTAAGTTAGAAATTGTATTATTTATTTTTTCAATAACTGGCTGGCACTATAACTTTGAAACAAAACTTTTCCAAAAAATAATATTTTATACAACATATTAAAACAGTATAACTAGTAGGTAAGGTAACACCAGTTATCATCTACCGCGATCGCGGGAATACCCGTGGGCATATCTTGCAGTCTCGGCGACACCAGCAACCCTATCGCGCGATCGCAGCAACACACATTCGCATATTTTGCGGTTTTGATGACACTGATCATTGTTAATTGATAATTTAAAAAATTAATGTTGTGTATCGACTGAGCCATTGACTCACCAACAACTTGGCTGTTGGATGGAAACTCTAGTCACTGAAGGTAGGGAAAGCAACAGACAACAGAAGATGTCAGATACAAAATCAAGTTCAAACATGTCTTGGCTGTAGTGACAACGGCAAACTCCACAACGGGACAGCTTTGATCGCCCGCATACCTCATAAACATTTAAGAAATTTGGACTCTTTCCCTCAAACTTTTGTGATTTTTCCATTCACAATTTTAATAGAGTAGACACTAGCATTAAGCCAGGTTTTCCTAGGCGCAGAAGTGGAGAGCGGACTCCACTTGTCTTAGGTAATATAATGTTACTGTTGTACACCATGTTAATCTCTTTTCCGCTCTCCGCTTCTGCGCCTAGGAAAACCCAGCTTTAATAAGAAAGAAAGCTCTCAGCTAACCCGGAGGTCCTCGTTATGCACAGAATCCAAGAGGTGTCTCAACAGTTCGTGTGCGTCGTGTTGATCACCACCCTCAAACTGTGGACACTTGGAGGTGAGGGCGTCTAGTAGCTTGCGAGGGTTGACTGTGTGACAGTCACCACCGCCAGGCACCCCCGCCACTTCTGTCAGGATATCTGCCAGCGGGGCACTCACTAGTGGGCCCTTGGGTCTCTTTAGCACAGCGTCCTGCAACAGACATCAGTAGTATCAACATACCGAAATGAATCAAAAGGAATCCTCTAAACCTGTTTTTAATCAACAGTTCCTAAAATTATTGTCCGTGTTCCCTAGAGCCTAATTTTGTTGGCGGCCCTACAATAATTTTTTTTACATCTATTATTACTGGGTGGTCACAGAACTTAGAACTGGAAAAAATCACGCATTGTAAACTGGCTGAGGAAAGGTCAGGTAACACAGAAAATAACAAGAGCACTGTAAATGTGTCGATATTATCAATTCAGTTTCACCATTGCCAATTATAAACAAAGTGTTAAGTTAGTCTACCACTAAAACCGCAAAATTTTTTAATTTTTAAGCCATTATAACAAAATACATCATAAGTAACCAACAAATTAGAAACGTCGCTAGTGTAACTGGAACTAGAAGCGAGGCTCCCCCACTCAGGCACAGGTATCCGTTCCGCACAGTAATATGGGTAGAAGAGACTAATGCAAGTATGAGGAGTTGTCGAACTGTGAGGTATGCGATCAGAAAGTAAGTGGTGTGAATCTTTTGAGTACAGATAGGAGGGCAAAAAGGGGTGTCTTGATGTACCTGCTCTATTGTACAGTCATAATGAACACACAGAAATAACAGACGATTTCACAAAACTTGATCGGCCAAAGGAAAAATCAGTTAAACAAAGAAGTTCGGATACAAGATTGTCTGAGTTTTAACTCTACTGTACAGTGGGAAAGACAAAATATATGGATGGCCTAGTCTCGTTAGATAACTGAAATAATTATGATAGCAATATGAAGGTGAGTTAAATATCACAACTGAGATAGTCTGTTTCTTAGTGCACCTTTGTAAACCATAAATAATGAGGAATTTGTGTCTAAACATTACAGTCTTCTAACACCCGACAAAGGAATGATATCTTCAATATCTTGTGCACAAAACAGAGTGTGAAGGGTCACTATGGAACATAAGTAGGAAAATTTACAATGACATCCCAGAATAAATTGAAGCTGAACGAAATATTTTAATCTCATCTTAACTCACTAGATGATTTTCTGTACTAATTTAGCATACGGTATTATTTGTATTGACATGTCATATGTTTATATGTGAATAATCACAGTTTTGTAAGCTTTATATGACGAATAAACATTTCATTTAATTGAATTTCTGCACTCACAATGGTGACTCCTTTCACGTCCACAGGGAACTTCTCTCCAGGGACGTCCATCTCCTTCAACAAGTCCACTAGTCCCGGGGTCTGGGCGAGACACTGCAGCACGGAGTTGAAGAAACATGTGTTGCCCAGGTTTGACAGCCCCTGTTGCAAACACAACCAACTCTTTACTCTTGGAGTTTGAATCTCTCAAGTCTCCAGAAAGGAATCAAACATTGTAATTATGAACTACAAAACAAATCAGATTAGTTTTACTTAATGCCTGTTTTGCGCATGAACAGTGTCAATGAGATGTTGTGCCAGCTTAATGGCGTTGAGTTTAATCCCTAGTAGCCTATTTCCAAAAACATTTAAGGGGTCTGGAATGCTTGATTCCTTTATAGTGTTTCAGTATCACTTTCATGATCAAATTCTATCTGCACAAACAATGACAAAACATGGATAGGCCTACCGTACAATTTGACATTTGACTTAACTATGGATAAAATACATTAGAGGTCACTTTTTGTTGTGGATCATAAACAAACGTTGATTTTATGGATCATCTATTACAGAGTGAGCTAGAGCAATCTAAAAAAATTTCACTTCTATAATACCATTGTTTGCTCTCTTTAGAGTGAGATCGGCAAAAATAATCATTTAGCAAGAAAAGGTTAGGCTATGTTCAATAAAACAAGCAAAATTAGTAAAATTAGACATCTTGAGCACTGACCAAAATATATTTCTAAAAGATTTAGGCCACCAAAAAACAATGAATGAATGAGTTAATGGATATACAGTATGTCACATTCACATACACACTCACCGAAATCTGGGTAAACCGAATCCATAATAAAATATTTTAATCTGTTAAAATATTTTAATTTTTGTCTGCCAAGATGTGAAGTTGACCCGGCTAGGTCTGAGACATTGTTGCGGCAATCACTGTGAAAATGATTGCCACCCGAGCAACCCTATCTGTACTTGAAAATTAATTGTCAATTATTTTTAGAAATAGATTTTGTTTAGGCCTATATACAGTAGTTATAAACAACTGTTGTTATAGTTATTAGTTTAGGCCTATACAGTTTTTAGATGATGATAATTGAAATAACATATAACAATAACACTGTTTTGAAACACAACAGTCGAAACAGCCTATAAATTTCAACAATTGATTGTTAAAAATAAGTTACGCAAAATGGCCTTGCCTCCTTTGTATTGGTTAGTCAGGGTTTGACTGTACAGTACGTACCACTGGCATCAATATTTCTTTTTTCACAGATGTATACATCCTATCTACTGTATGTATGTGTATGAAAAATGTAAGCTGAAAAAAACAAAAAGAAACTTACCCTCACTTTGGGCAGGCTTAAGACAGGTTTAACCTCATCTTTATTAATGCTCTTATTTAGAGCTGCCATCCTAGGTGTTATATCATCCTTCAAGAAATCTAAACCTTCAGTCCCATTCATTTTTTTCGAGTCTGCAAAAATTCATGAAATATTCAAAGTGAATATAAAACAAGAATTTTCAAAGACAATAGAACAAAAATATAACAAAGACAATGTATTAATGACTTTTTTCTGATTCCAGTTTTTTTTTCATACCTTCGGATCAAAAGGTATTTAAATTAACTTAATAGCTAAAATTATTGCAGAAATCAAACAATGCATCATAATTCTACAAAAAAAATCAAATAAAGGTGGTAGACCACACACATACCTGATTCTACTCGGACTGGGCTGAAAGGTAAATTATCACTGTACTGTTTCTTGATAAAATCAGCACAACTCTGAACTTTCTTTGATACATCGATCGGAATATCTCTTTCACACATAAAACACCTGAAATTACAATAATTAATTCACCTACTGATTTTTAAATACACATCCTTAATCATGTTTTAACAAATGATGAACCTAGAAATTAAAGATGTGTCGAGACTACAATTTTTCAATTCTCTACAGGGTGTCTAATTTATTTCAAAATTCATTCAAAATTAGGGGAGTCCATCTCACAATTCATGACCAATTTCTAGATTTTTCAAGACTAATTCCAGAATTTTCAAGACTAGTTATTTCTTGGTACCAATACCAATTTTTATAGTTTAACAAAATTTACTAAATAATTTGGTTATACTACACACACCCCTGTCTTTATGTCATAAAGTATTATTAAGATAATGTGATGTTTTCAAGTAAAGACAAAATGCAGCAATGAAAAATTCTAAATAGCCGATTAGGGGGTTTTTTTTATCATGAAAACTCCGCGGACGTGTAGACATCATCATTGACTGCCGCAGTCACGGTGACGTCATCGTCATTGTCCGCGATCGCGGCAAAATCGTTAACATCTCCCCAATGATGTGTAGACATAATTCTTTACTACTTTATTGCAATAATTCTTTACTACTTTATTCACATATATACAAAAGTATACATGAATGGCGTTCAGAACAATACATAATACATTATATCGCGTAGTAACTAGGTAGTTTCACAGCCACGTAAACGTAATGGTCGTCTTGCTCAGTCACGGCAAAATAATGACAATTCTCGACTTTGATATAAAAAAAAAGATAAAGACTAAATCCCAACTTTTCAAGACCATTTTGGAAATTCAATACCAATTACCAACTTCCTGTCTACTAGACAACTATAAAACTCTTACTAAAAATTTTATTAAATTTTAATGAAGTTTTGTAATGTATTACAACCCATGACTTTTAATCGTTACACAAGCAATAATGGGGTAATAAGGTGTTTTTGCGAAACAAAATTCTGAATATCTTTCAGTGATAACGGAATAACATCACATTTCAGTGATAACATCGTCATTATCTCCGCAATAGCAGCAAAACAGTGACCATTTCCTGCGGTCAAGAAAACAGTATCAACGTCTTCTGCAATAACAAAAATATTCTGACAATCTCCTGAGGTCATGATGTTGTGATATTTTCTCCGTATCGAATCCAAAGTCTTGAATTCTTAAATATTACCAGAAAAAAAGAAATCCCAAATGGAAATCGGCCCATACTTTGAAAGATTCAACTTCAGGTTTAGGTTTACATTTTTTACAGTAGACAAAATGCAAAGCTTATTCATATTTTTATTGTTTTCACAGTCTCACTTACCAGATGAGGTTGTTGTTGACCTGGTAGGCCAGGTAGTGAGCATCAGAGCGAGGAGTCTTGTAATGGTCAGTTCTATGATCCTCCTCCTCCGGTCCACAGTTGCACGAGCCACATCTCAGACACACCCATCCATCCTGTGGATTGTCACATGGACTTTACTTTTGGTATTGGAATTTGCTTAACAGAATCCAAAATACCACCATATTTAATCGTCCCAATAGCTGAAAGTTTATAGAGACCGCCCCTAAATCTGAAGGTTGCTGGTTCGAATCCACACAACATAAATTTTGGACCCGATTGCCATTGCTATAGGCCAGTGCAGTAGTGCAGCGGGAACGCGTAGGAACAACGTCCCCACCTCTGCTTTTTCCAAAACTCCGGTATATTAATTGGTGACCCATCAAAGAGATGATGAGCATTCCCCTACTAGAAATTTTACGACTACATGACTGGGCTAGACCTTTGAAATTATATCTAACAAACGACGAGTGTATGGTACAGGATTGAGCCTTTCCATATCAAAAAACTTATTACATAACAAAGGCTTGGGTAAACACAAAATAACAACCAAAATGGTGTCTGTAGCAAAAATCGTAAATAATACCAATGGCTTCGGTTAAACAACCACAAACAAACCACCGAAAGGTATACATTGCAATGTGTCTCTCACAAGCGAGGCTAGGAATTTGATTTTATATTAATTTTATTTGTACGAGGGAGATATTTCTAAAACCAGAGATGTATGGCTAATGTGAGGTGTATCTTAAGGTTTTGTGCTAAAATTTTGATCTAGCAGAATAACTAGTTAATCACTAGTGAAATGCACTTCAGAGTAAGACAGAATCAGTCTATCGCACCATTAGCCTCTCCTCTGAAGTCAATAGCACACAATAGTGTGCACGTGGCACAGGTCAGTACAAACCAGCAAACTTTTAGGCATAGGGTTGATTTCTTGAATGTCAAAAAACTTATCAATTCGGATCAAATTTGATAGAAAAATTAATAGATGATTAAAATAAATTTGTTTTAAGCCTCAGCTTAATATATATGCTTTGTAATATTTTCTTTAATTACAAAATTTTTACAAAAATAAAGTGAAGCCAAAAGTATGACTCACTGACCAGGCTACCACAGCAGCATTGAACGGACGCAATAGACTGGAAGAGCAAGGCTATTAGCGTGGTCAACTAGTTCCGCCTAATTCAGGGGAGCATATTTCACTATAAAACATCAACATTTTACTGTACTCTAATTACAAAGTGTTAAAAAAATAAATACGTTGTTGATGAATCTTTTTGAATGGTGGATATGGTTTTGCTTTTGCATTTTTCTATTTTATTCAAACATCTGTATTTGATTTCACAGTTAACATGTTGAATGCAGCATTGTCACTGGTGAAGGCCTTGTACAAGCACACCATGCAAACTTCCATCAGTTAGCTTGGAACCAATGATGTTAGAAGGATGGGGTTTAATTGCATTTTTTTTAAGACTAAACATTGTACCAGTGAATGGCTTGTTTTGTGATATATTTTGTCTAAAAGGCCTTTTTTGTAATGGTCAGCTGGGAGTTGGAAAAGCCAATGCCCTGTGGAACTATCCACAACTGGAATGCAGTATGCTGTAATGTGGCTTTTCTATTGGATGAAACTGAATTTAAACATTTTGCACACTCATCCATACAGGACATTGGCTGTTCCAGCTCCCAGCTGGTCATTACGCAGAAGCAGTGAATGTGTTGGCTTCTGAATTATTATCAATGTGATATGCCAATATAGGCTTATCAATATCAAGTAAAGAATTTAAGCAAAATATAGCCTAGGCCTAATATAGATCTTGGCCTATTAAAAAAAGACAAAACTAATTTATTACTCAATTGACAATTTAAAGTTCCAGCAAGTATTGCAATTTAAGTTTTAAACTCTGAATGGTGTGTGATGTCTTTGTTTGAATCATTTGTCAATTGTTTTTCTTGCTTGTCATGCTTTTATCTGCATGTAGAAATATGCCTCCTTTTTATTTTTTATGCATGTGTCTATACTTGCTTTTCTGCAAATATCTTCACACGGGTATGTATTCTTACGAGTTAATAACCATATGTATAGGCCTAAGCTTATACACGTTGTTCTTGATAAGGCCAATTATGTAGCCTATAAGTAACTAAAGGAGAACCAACTCCAACACACAAAACGCCGTCTTTCATCTAATATTCAATAAATAAGACTGACATTTCACTCTGTTTTCAAGATTGACATTTTAAATTATTTTCTTAAAAAATAAATGAACTTAACACTTACCTTACACAAACTTGATTCATTTTTTTTACAAAGTGAACATAAGTTATGAGTGTTTTTGTCTCGACTCGTTTTCAAATTTTTCCTAATGTTTGCTATCTCAACAGATTTATTTATGTGAGGACAGCATGCTTTGTTGGTGGCTGGAAATGAAATAGACAATTTTAAATCAAGTCAGGGTGAATTATTCTCAATAAAGCTTCAATATATTTATCGAAACTTTTCATTCAAACTAGTTAGCCTACCAAAAGTATTTTGATTTAGAGTCAATAAACATGTATTGTTGAAAACATGCCCTACTGAATGTACAATATACCTAAGATTTGGTCTGGTTGGAAAGTTAGATAGGCCTAGGCCTACTAACTTATGATATTTCAGGGCTGTTGACTCAAAATTCAGACTCGTACATCTAATATATAAAATTCTCGTGTCACAGTGTTTGTCTGCAAACTCCTCCGGAACGACTTCACCGATCGTTATGAAATTTGGTGTGTAAATTCTGTAGGTATGCGAATCGGACGTAAACTATTTCCCGTTTCGAAATTCTTAAAAGGGCTCCGCCCCAGTGGCTCTGGAGTTTCCCATGTTAACCTTATGAGAAATGGAATTAATGAATCTTAACAGCTGTTTCAATTAAACAGGTTGGTTCTGTTCTATGATGTTCAATAGCATTAAAGTTACAAGGATTACCAACAGGGTGCAGCACTATTATTTCTTTTACATTTATGACAACAGCTAATTTGCAACCAAAAGGTGAGTGAGCGTAGCGAACGAACTTCAACCTAGAACCTGAAGGCAAGTGAGCGCAGCGAACGAGCTCCAACCTAAAGGTGAGTGAGCGTAGCGAACGAGCTCCAACCCAAAGGTGAGTGAGCGTAGCGAATGAACTTCAACCTGGAGGCGAGTTAGCGTAGCGAACGAGCTAACCTGAAGGCAAGTGAGCGCAGCGAACGAGTTCCAACCTAAAGGTGAGTGAGCGTAGCGAACGAACTTCAACCAGGACGTGATTGAGCGATGCGAACGAGATCATCTTGAAAATTAAACGTAACGGTACTTTCTTTCCATCGGTCTGTCTTAGGGGAAACCTATAACTTAAGCGATACGAAGTTCGCCGGGTCAGCTAGTAAGTTTATAGTTTTTCAGTAAAATTAGAAATATTCTTTTTTTAACTGGTCATGTAGAGTTGATTATTCTTAAGCTACCGACGTTCTTTTTCACATTTGCTACCGAGCATTAATGTATAGGCCTTGTGAAGATACTGTACTTGTTCAATTATTATTAGGCTACTTAATTTGAATTGACTAATGAGATTACTTGTGTACAACAGTTTACCTAATTTTTAGGTTTGGCTAACTTAAATCATTAATTCTTCCGATTATCATCAATTCGATTTTTTGAGGTTATTAGTTGTCGTATTGAAATGGAAATTAAACCGTTGAATTCAAAGTGAAATTCCACACAATTTGAGTACACTTACCTACAACATGGGGTTTTAAAAAAAATCCTGTTTTTTCGCTTTCCCGGACAACTGCGCTAAAACACAAACATTTTGAAAACAGAAATCTTTAGAGAATTGGCTGGAGGTTGATAGTTTTACCAAATAAGCTGTCTAGGTCTAAAATATTAAAGAATGCAGCTCTACGCTACAAATATTGTCCCTATTTGTAAGTGAAACATCTTTTACCTTCCCCTGGTTGAGTAGAATCTTTGCTGCTTTCTGACTCAGATGAATCTCCAACAATATTGCTTGAGTTTTGGTGGGATCTCTTCTTCTTACCCATTATGAATTAAGAATGTAAAATTTATGATGTTTACTGGTGTCTACAGTGAATCTCCTGATGGCATTTAAGAATTCTGTAGAGAAAAAAGTTCAATTAGCCTTACTTAAACCACATAGCCTATTTAGACAGTTAAGCATTTTATAAGTTGGCTGCTTAAATAAGTTAGCCTTTGTGGCACTGTAGATGCCATATTTAGCTTTGTATCTGAAGTAGCAGATGCTCTTGACAGTTCACAGAATGTAGCTGGTCTGTTCTGTGACCTGTCAAGAGCGTTTGGGTGCGTAAATAATGATAACCTGATCTGTAAGTTGCAGTTTTATGGCAGGCCTATATCGGACATTTACTATTAAATTGTTGGTTTTTTTTCTATCTAGGCTAATAGAAAACAGTGTATAAGGCTGCAGTCACTGGGGCCTGATCATGGATCCATCACAGAGGGTGTTCCTCAAAGGGTCTATTCTTGGGCCCTTGATCTTTTTGATTTATGTAAATGACTTGCCTATGGCCTTAAATTCCAAATTATAGTTCGGCCGCTTAGAAAGCGACCTCCTCCAGCATTGGTTTAGCATTAGCGCGCAGGTCGTTTTCTAAGCGGCCGAACTATAGTAATTTTTGCTGACGACACTTCTGCTATATTTACCCATCCTGACAAATCAAGGTTTCCACAACTGATAAAACAAGAATTCTATAAGCTAGAAAGTTGGTTTCAAGCTACTAGGCCAGATTGAATCAGTTTAAATCACTTTTAATCAGTTAAAAAAAAAAAAAATCCTCATACAAATTTTCCATGACAATACCACGCTAAGTTTTTACCACACAGTTATTCTGAAAGTACCAAATTTTTAACCTGGAAAACTCACATTGCAGAAGTTATCTATCTAGATCAGTAGATCGATGTCTCCACTCTTATGATGGTGTACTATGGATATGTTTATCATATTCTTATTTATAGAATAATAATTTGTTGGGGAAATTCTGACAAAAGGAAAAAGGTAGGCCTATCGTATATAAATTGCAAAAACAAATCATTAGAATAATCTATTCTCTCAAAGCTAGAGTTTCATGTGTGAGGATATTTTAAAATCAATAGGAACATTCTTACTTTTCCTAGCCTATTCACATCTAACTTATAATTTACTAATTTTTATTAAACTAAACATCTCTAAATTTTCTGTTAGTTCAGACAACCACAATTATGAAACCAGAAACAAAGACTGCCTTACATATTCCAAACACAAATCTTCTACTTTTAGATCTTTTCCCCACTACTCTGGTATTTATTAAATTTTATAATAACCTGTCTGATTCCATAAAGTCTGCACCTTCTCTCAGGTAATAAAAAAATTGTATTTAAGTTGTTATGTAACAAATGTTGCTATAAGGTCAATGACTTTTTCAGCTGACCTTTGTACGGTACCAGTACGTATTTTTTTGTTGGTATTATTAATAATATTAATAGTATTCATGTATATTTTGTACTAAATGAATGAAGGGTGATTGAAGTGTACTGGTCCGCACAATGCTAGTCATTTTTTGTTTAGGCCGGCCAAAAGTATTAATTCTTAATGTCTCGTGTAAAAATATAAATGTTTCGTGTGTCAGTGTGTGTATACATGTGGAATTCAACGATGACCAATGCTTTAACAGTAATTAACAAGACAGAATGTTTGACAATGGGGCTGTTTGCCCCGAAACTATGTAGTCATCTAAAAAGACGACTTGAAAACGTAAATTTTAATATAAGGTATCCTATTGTTATTATTTACCCTCAAACAAAAATATAGCTAGCCTAAATATGTAATAGTGAACTAACTTATTGCATACTTAATCTAAGCTACCTTCAACGGACTTAATGTAAGTTAGTCACGAATCCTCATAAAGCCCGGCCTGGCTTCCCCATATACCTTTTCTCTTATGAAACCAATTCATGAAATCATACAGCAAGTTTGGTTAGGTTTTGTTAGTTGAGCGGAGAGAGCGAAGCTCTTATACATTGACTCTTATGCATTTAGTAATACGCAAACTCCTCCTAGACGGCTGAATCAATCGTTTTCAAATTTTGCATGGTGATAAAGACCATATCGGTGAGTGCCAACATCTATATGGCGTTAAAAAAGTCTCTCAGGAATCCGCACCACTGGGTCTGCAAACTGGGTCTACAAAGTTTCAATGTAATCCTTATGGAAGCAGTATTTGATACATATAAACAAAGACATATGATCAGCTGTTGACTTTTGAATGGAGTAGATAAATAAAGAGCTGATAGCATTATTCCCCAGATATTAGAACAGAAACGGTATGAATCATAAATATAATCAAATGACGACACTAGCTTGAGGTCCGTGACGCATGAAGTGGTGAAGGAAGTAGTAAAGGTGAGCAGTCTGGAGTGTGGAAACTGTTTATGACGATAAGATTAAGGTATCTGCATTCCTAAAATTCTATGGGAAGGGAGGAAAACAGGTCCACGACGTAGGAAGTGGCAAAGGAAGTAATAAAGGCGAGCAGTCTGGAGTGTGGAAACTGTTTATGGCGATTAGATTAAGGTATATGCATTCCTAAAATTCTATTGGAAGGGAAAGAAACAGGTCCACGACGTAGGAAGTGGTAAAGGAAGTAGTAAAGACGAGCAGTTTGGAGTGTGGAAACTGTTTATAACAATTAGATTAAGGTAACTGCATTCCTAAAATTCTATGGGAAGGGAGGAAAACAGGTCCGCAACCTAGGAAGTGGTGAAGGAAGTAGTAAAGGCCGCAACCTAGGAAGTGGTGAAGGAAGTAGTAAAGGCGAGCAGTCTGGAGTGTGGAAACTGTTTATGACGATTAGATGAAGGTATCTGTAGGCCTAATCCTAAAATGTTATTGGAAGGGAAGGAAACATGTCCGTGACGTAGGAAGTGGTGAAGGAAGTAATAAAGGCGAGCTGTTCAGGGTGTGGAAACTGTTTATGACGATAAGATTAAGGTATCTGCATTCCTAAAATTCTATGGGAAGGGAGGAAAACAGGTCCACGACGTAGGAAGTGGCAAAGGAAGTAATAAAGGCGAGCAGTCTGGAGTGTGGAAACTGTTTATGGCGATTAGATTAAGATATATGCATTCCTAAAATTCTATTGGAAGGGAAATAAACAGGTCCACGACGTAGGAAGTGGTGAAGGAAGTAGTAAAGACGAGCAGTCTGGAGTGTGGAAACTGTTTATGACGATAAGATTAAGGTATCTGCATTCCTAAAATTCTTTGGGAAGGGAGGAAAACAGGTCCACGACGTAGGAAGTGGCAAAGGAAGTAATAAAGGCGAGCAGTCTGGAGTGTGGAAACTGTTTATGGCGATTAGATTAAGGTATATGCATTCCTAAAATTCTATTGGAAGGGAAAGAAACAGGTCCACGACGTAGGAAGTGGTGAAGGAAGTAGTAAAGACGAGCAGTTTGGAGTGTGGAAACTGTTTATAACGATTAGATTAAGGTAACTGCATTCCTAAAATTCTATGGGAAGGGAGGAAAACAGGTCCGCAACCTAGGAAGTGGTGAAGGAAGTAGTAAAGGCCGCAACCTAGGAAGTGGTGAAGGAAGTAGTAAAGGCGAGCAGTCTGGAGTGTGGAAACTGTTTATGACGATTAGATGAAGGTATCTGTAGGCCTAATCCTAAAATGTTATTGGAAGGGAAGGAAACATGTCCGTGACGTAGGAAGTGGTGAAGGAAGTAATAAAGGCGAGCTGTTCAGGGTGTGGAATCTGTTTGTGACCATTAGATTAAGGTATTTGCAATCCTATGATGCTATGGGAAGGGAGCGAAACAGGTCCGCGACGTAGGATGTAGTGAACGAAGTAGTAAAGGCGAGCTGTCCGGAGGTCCGATTAAGGTATCTGCAATCCTAAAATGCTACGGAAAAAGAGGGAAACAGGTCCGCGATTAGGAAGTGGTGAAGGAAGTAGTAAAGGTGAGTTGTTTGGAGTTTGGGATCTGTTTAAGGTATCTACAATCTTAAAATGCTATGGGAAGAGAGGGAAACATATCCGCGACGTAGGAAGAGGTGAAAGAAGTAGTAAGGTGAGCAGTGTAGAGTGTGGAAACTGGACACCGTTTGTAGCAGTTTTAATGTATCTGCAATGCTGAAATGCTATGAGAAGGGATGGAAGCATGCCCTTGACATAGGAAATGGTGAAAGAAGTAGTAAAGGCTAGCAGTACGGAGTGTGGGAATGTTTGTGCCAATTAGATTAACTTACCTATCTAAAATACTAAAATGCTATGGAAAGTGATGAATACAGTTCCACGACGTAGGAAGTAGTAAAGTATGAGCATCAGCATAGTGTGAGATCCGTCTGTGGCAGTTAGATTAACGTATTTTTAATACCAAAATGCTATGAGAAGGGAGGGAAACAGGCCCCACGACGTAGGAAGTGGTGAAGAAAGTAGTAAAGGCTGGCAGTGCAGAGTGGGGGAACCGTTTGGGCAGTTAGATAAATGAATCTGTAATACTTAAATGCTATGAGAATGGAAGGAAACAGGTCTATGAGGTAGTAAATGGTGAAGTAAGTAGTAAGGCTAGCTTACATCATTATTGGTGGAGTTTATTTGCCACCTCAATCCCCAAATCAGTTGTTTTCTGCTTTCACTGATTCGGTTGAGGAACTGCACACTACCTGTGAAGATAGCACTAAAATCATTATTGCGGGTGACTTCAACCAGCCGGGTGTGGACTGGTCTATCCCTTCTCCTGTGTCTGCAAATTCTGCTTCTGAATGTATTATAAATCTTATGAGCTTTGCTCACCTAACATAACCGCATTCTCAACTCTCATGGAGTGCTGCTGGACCTCGTTCTTACTTCTGATGAATCCATTTCTGTTACCAAAGCGACTGAACCTCTACTCCCAAAAGAAGCATACCACCCAGCACTGGAATTCTCCATGATGGTAGCCTATCTGAAACCAAGTGATTGTAGAACTTCTACGTATGACCTTAGGAGATGCAACGTTCATGCAGTGCGTCGTTGGGTCGAGTCCCTGAATTATCCGGATTCCAAGTTGCCCATACTGAATGTCAAGTCTTTATTATCTTCCTTCTGCAGTGAGCTTGGAAATTGCATACGCCTTCACTCCCCACTAAGGAAATCTACCAAATCGAATTTCCCTCATTGGTTCAGCCCTGAGTTGAGACTCCTAATTGCTAGAAAGAAGGAGCTGCATAAAACTTATAAAAACTCTCTTAGTAACACCCACTATAATGACTTTAAGGAAGTCAGGCGTCAATGCAAATTGTTGACAAGAGCCTGTCATGAGAGCTACCTAAGGGAGATTGACACTTGCTTAAAATCAGATCCCAAATCCTTTTGGAGGTATATTAAGTCGCTGTCCAAGAACAGTCCCTTTCCAAGCAAACTGCAGTTTGAGCAGGAATCTGCTGAGGAGCCTCAGGCTATGTGTGATGTCTTTGCTTCTTACTTTTCATCTGTCTACGCACAGCCTGATGGAGTTGTGCCTCACTACAACCTCGAACCAAGCTTCAATGTTTCTGTGTGGCATATTTCTGCTGTCGATGTTGAGAAAAAATTACTGAAGCTGAACACTTCAAAGGGACCTGGTCCTGACAACATCCCACCGGCGGTTCTACGGTTTTGTGGATCAGCACTTGCTCCCCACCTATCTCTTTATTTCAACCAACTTTTGCGAGCTGGCATCCTTCCTAATTCACTGAAGTCTAGTTTTCTTGTCCCCATTTTCAAATCTGGCTCGACATCTGATGTAAAGAATTACAGACCAATTGTGATCCAGTCTGTGTTGGCTAAAATATTTTAAAGTCTGGTCCTTGATGTACTCTCCTTCACTTTCAAGAGTTACTTCATATCTGAGCAACACGGGTTTCGTCCTGGAAGGTCCACAGTTACAAACCTGTGTGTCTTCTCGAAATTCGTGACATCTGCCTTCACACATCTGCATCAGGTCGACTGTCTTTACCTGGATTTTGCTAAGGCGTTTGATCGAGTTAGCCATCTTCACCTCATTGCTAAGCTCGAAGCTCTCGGTATCACTGGCCCTCTTCTTACTTGGATTTGGAGCTACCTAACGGGAAGAACCTTACGTGTGAAATTTGCTTCATATTGCTCTAGGTCTACGGTACAAGTGACATCGGGTGTGCCTCAGGGTTCCTTATTGACCATTCTTGTTCTGTATATTTATTAATGATATTGCGAAACCTCTTGCATGCAAGTTCCTGATTTTTGCTGACGATGTTAAAGTTTTCACTGAGGTCACTTCCACCCAACAACAAATTGAGCTTCAACAAGATCTGAGGAGAACTGAAAATTGGTGTTTAGATAATTCCTTGCAACTGAATGCAAAAAAATGTCAGGTGATGACTTTTGGAAGAACCAAAACGCTGCTGACCTTCAACTACAGTAGACTCCCTCTTATCCGGACACCTTTTAACCGGACTACACTCGACGGAAATGACATCTCTTTAACCAGACAATTTTTATCAGCACATTGGTTTAACCGGACTAAATCGGCAGGAAGTGGGTGGTACTGTAACGACTGTTCTCGTGGGAAAGATTTGAGACCAGTGATCACCTGTCTAAATACAATGCTCTCTTAAATTTAAGTCAAATATCACCGTAAACGGTCCATTTAAATGAGTTTTTGGGGGCTTAACCGGAAAAACCGTTATCCGGACTGGCCTTGGTCCCGAGGAGTCCGGATAAGAGGGACTGTACTGTACTGTACTGTCTTCACGGTGCGCAACTGGATAGGACCCTATCGATTAAGGATCTTGGGGTTTATCTCACACCTTGCTTGGATCCTGGACTTCACATTGCAAAAATTTGTTCCAAAGCTAATTCTGTTCTTGGGTTGATAGCCCGATCTTCTAGAGGTTCTCTATCTACAGCATCAGTGAAGGTCTTGTACAACTCTCTTGTCCGTCCCATCTTGGAGTATGCTTCTCCTGTGTGGTCTCCTCATCAGGTTGGCCACTGTAACTCCCTGAACATGGTCCAGAGGGACTTTCTCCGGCTGCTTGGTGTCAGAGATGGCATTAACTACCTCGACGTGAACGTCCACGTGATCGCAGTGGACCACCGTGTGCTTTCACTCACATCACGAAGAGCCGCTTTTGATCTTCTACTACTCTTCAAGATCATCAATGGTCAGGTGGACAGTCCTGAACTACTTGAAATGATTAACTTCCATGTCCCAGTCTCCACCCGGAGATCTCGACTCTTCTCCAAGCATCACCAACCAACTGCCTACGCTTACCATAGCACAGCTCCCCGTTTACATCGTCTGGGAAATGCAGCTCAACTTGAGTTCTTCGGGTCGTCCTTGCCACTCTTTAGGAGAATAGTGTTTAAGTGGGCTGCTGACCAGATCCAGCTTTAGTCGTTGTGCTTTTGGTGGTGCCTCTAGAGAGCCACACAACCAGTGAGAGGAAGTGCCAACTGCCAAGCAATATTATCTCGTAAATTTAAGTTTTTCTTTTTGTCTAGAGTATTTATCACTGTATCGTTTTCATTTTTAAATATTTAAATCCTTGTTATTAATTTATAAATCTTTATCAATTGTTGATACTCTTTGTTGTTGTTTTTGTATAGTTTTTAATGATATATTTCTTTTTTATCTTATTAATTGTGTTCTTTGTTATTGATTATCTTGAATATTGATTGATCATCTTCTTAAATATTAATTATCTTGTTAAACCCACTTGTAAAATGGTGTTTGCCGTTTAATAAAATGAAATGAAATTAAATGATCAGCTAACTTAGTAGGTACAGTTAGGTAAGTTCACAGACCATTCTAGGAGCCCAAAGCCCAAGCAAGAGTAAGTTATGTTTAACCTTAAAAGTCAGTCACAGCACAGCCACCGGTCTGTGATACACAACTTTGGTGTGTATCACTTCACACTTTGTTCCCTGGCATCTGATTTGCTCCGTGCCTTGAGAAAGTTAGTTCTGTTCCGTATATTTTTGGGGTAGGCTACACTTCCATATCTGTTGGCACAAACAACCAAATGAAAATTTATCGATTATTTGATAAATTGTTTGGTTAGTTAGGTAAGGTTAACCTAACCTAACTAACCAAACGATATATGGAATTAAACAATCGAATAATCTAGGCCTATATTACTCATTCGGTTGTTTATGCCAACAGATATGGAAGTGTAGGTACCCTATTTTCGCAATTTGCAGTGGCCTATCCAACCAAACTTGCTTAATATGAAAACATTCTGGTAGGGAATGAGTTAAACGGAATAGCAAAAAAGTAGCATAGGCCCCTAGTGGTAATGAAACGGACCCATTACGGTATATCAAAAAAAAAAAATCATCATTAATAATTAATGTTTCCTTTAACAGGACAGTACCTTCTGGGCCTATATTTGTTCTTGTATTTTTATTTTGTGTTTTTGTGAAAAGAGGTTTACCATAGGCCTACTTACCTGGTTAATTACTAGTGTATTGTAGCCTATAGCCTATTGAATTTTTAATCCTAGGCCTACATATTTCATTCTAACTTACATAGTTATCTCGAAAGGGCCAATTAATAACTCTTTGCTAGGATAAAGTCCTTGTGGGCCACTAGCCTAACTTCTGCCTGTTGACTTGCAATGCCCCAATAATAAATGGGTCACCCAAGTTATTAGGTAGGGGTAACGTGAGGCCCACAAAGTAGGTTAACTTATGATTTAAAGCCATAGCTACTTAACTTAGTTGCTTAACACGAATTTTGAATTAACATTATTTATATATTATCCTACAAAATCTGCCACGAGCAAGTCAAGTCAATAATGACAAAGCAGTGGAGTTGAGGATCGACACGTTCCAGAGTTGGGCACATTTCTCTTAAATTTTGCGTAATAACCTTCACTACACATATAAAAAATAAGTTAATCTATACAATTTACAGTAAACATGTAAAATATGAATAAGGATTTACCTTGAACAAAAACTGTAAATAATTATCTTGACGAATTCATCTCAGTATCTCACTACTCACTAGAGTCAGCAGAGTAGAGAAGAGAGTAAGACTAAGACTTCGTTTCGTTCGACAGGAGCCAGAAAATGAGAAACAGTGAAACACGTGAAACAGAAACAGACAGAAAGAGAAACTGTTCAGGATTTTTTTCCCACGTGAATGGAAAAGCCTAAAAAGGTCCATTTGGCCCACATGTTCAATTGTATAAACAAAGAAGCCAACAAACAAACTATATCAAAGCACATCAAGATACAATAATAATGAAATAAATTATATTATATATATATGAGGCTGACTTCAAAAATTGATTTAATTACATATATAAGCATAGATAAAAGGAGTATAGACATACTGTCTATACTCCTTTTATCTATGATATAACGTAGTATTTATTTTACTAAGCTAGCAGTAACGTATATTTATCTTACAGTCGATGTTAAAATAAAATTTCAAAGATTTTATAATTGGATCTAGTACAATCGTGAAGAAGTAGTCTTTCTACTTTAATGCGCCACATAAAAATGTATAATCATTGACTATTACCATAGATAAAACATACTCCCTTCCCTTGTGTTGGTTAGTCTATGCTATTACCATTTATAGACCAACACCTCCCCCAATCAATGCGGTTATTAGTTTGGTAATGATACTCCTTTAACCTTTTATCACAGACAATAGATCAAGATCATAGACCATGGGTTCTTCCCTTGTCTGTGGTTCTATATACTGTGCCTCTATACACACGCACACGGACGCGATATTTATCGCCTGGCCCCACAACTGGCTTGATCACTTTCTTTAGTCTATGGCAGTACTGACACATTGAATTTGACGTGACTGGACGACCTATGCGTGAAAACCGTCGTTTGGTGGCTCCTCTGATCCTCGACTGGTTTTAAATGTCGTTGGGGTAAGTGTTTGTTTTGCATAGATCTGAGGCAATTTTTAATATGGATTCGTGCTAGAGATGTGTGCACTCATGTACCCGTGACACATAACAAACAGGAAACCCCTTTCCCATCATTTTTTAAGTAAAAAACAACTAATTTATTTGCACCTCTTATAGATCCATTCTTTGATTTCTGTACGTAGTTTCTTTCATGCGTTGGTGATAAAAGAGTAACACGGCTCGTCCACAGCGTACATATGCAGTCCAATGTCCAATGTCCAATATGTGCAGTCTTGCCAATGTAATCAAAATTCGTGGGAACAAGCAACCGGTTGCGACCCAGGTTACATCAATCACCCGTTAGATTACAAAATCAAAGTTGAAAAGTAACGGGTTGGATACGAATAAACTCACGACTCAGAATGTTGCCTGCAGTAGCTAGATTATCGTGTAGTACGTTGGCTTATTTACATTACAAATTTAATATTGAGTAATCCAATCCGAATAAGTAAATGTTCTTCTCTTCAAATATTTTGATGTTATTTTGAAATCAGTGACAAGATCTGCGTATTATATAGCCTAGATTTATTTACTTATTTGGTCCGAAGATAGGTATTAGTAGGATGTAAATTACTCTATGTGCATTTCACCGCTCAGTTTGGCATCTTCATGGAGCTTTTCTTATCCCACACTAAATTTCATGCACTATATAGCACTATACATATTCGAGATCTTCTTATTGTTTATTACGTAGTCATGGTTGCCGACGCACACCATGACTTGACTGCATCCCCTGCCCATAATCCTCTGTCCTGTCACTCACCCCTACCATAGATTAAAAGAAGTAGACAGAAGTATAGAAGTGTCTATACTCCTTTTACGAGTTTTTTTACGAGTCAATCCCACCAACAGTGCCGACCGTAACCGAGTAGTAGTAGGGTACTCCAAGGCCAGGGAACTGCAACCACGAAATGAACAATAAGAAGATCTCTAAAGGCGTATAAAGTAGCCACAAAGTCAACTTTATCCAGAGCTTTTTTATCAGCCTTTTAGCGAGTACGTCGTTAAAACTAAAGCTATATTTACAAGCTGCGTGTATGCAGCTTTTAAACTTGCCCCATGTGAACGGGGCTTTAATTTAAATACTGTATGTATGTGGTGCAAGAAATAAGTGTAAGAAAGAAAGCTCCTGCTCCATGAAGATGCCGCACTGAGCGGCGAAATGCGCATAGAGTTCAATTAAATTCAACCATACAAGACCTTGAGGCAAAATAGGTAAATAAATCTGTACAGTATAAATATTTTGACTTTAAAAAAATAAAAGCTGTCTCTATTGCAAGGGATTTTGTTACCATACCACGATTCCATTTGAATATACTTCCATTTGGATATATTTCAAGGGAGATTGTTTGCCATACCCAGATTACATTTATTTGTTATTGTTATAAACCATCACGATGATATAATACATCAATGATGTTTTCTAACTACTGGTCATTGGTCAACGTTACAAGTAACAGGACCATAGTTTGGACAGTTTCTTCACAAAATGCCCCCATCGCAGCAAACCTGCCGTCTATGCGAATTTCCATTTGCCTGAAATTATTTTTCAATTAATCTTTTTTTTATATAACATCAGGTTTAAATAGTACCCAGGTTTGCTGCTACAAGGAAACTAATAGGTAATTTTGACTCCATAAACATTTAAGTTTATCCTGCCTTACACCTTCAAACTAAATTTTATCAAAATCGGACAAAAATTACGTGTATATATATATTAATATTTGATACATATATATACATATATATATAAAGAATATTTGATATATTATACTAGAGAACCCTGTTTTTTCCTTCCACCATGAGAGAACCCGTGCGGCTTTATGAGTCGCAGAATATGAAACATAATGCCGAGGAAAACGTGTTATTCTTAAATTCGAGTAATTCTAGTTACATCATAGAGTTGTTTAAACGCTTGTTATAAACTATTTTAAACATCTCTATTTGCGTCGTCAAGGTTCACCTACATTATTTATGCTCTCAGTTTTAACTGATAACTTCTAATGAATGCTAAACGATCTGCTGCTTCAATTCAAGTTAACATGTTGCAACAAAGTTTTTCCAGCTTTGAGAATTGAAGAACAATTTTTGCCTTACTGATAACCTGGTTTAAGTAATTTAAGTTGGGTGATTTTATTTCTTTGATTTGAGACATCCCCCTAATCAAACGAATTTTCTCCGTAGAGAATGGTGAAAAGTGTGGTGATATCAACCATTTCATGTGCTTCATTTTTTACCCACAAACTTTAGGTTACTATAACTGGACAGCCTTAATCTGCTTTGAATGTCTAAAGCAGCAACGGCATTAAGCTTTAAGCCGGGTTTACACGATGCCAGTTGGCGAGACAATTGCCAGGAGACAACTAACTGACTGGCTTGGAATTACTGGCTTCGTGTAAACACTTCAGGCCAATTGGCAAGCCAATTGTCCCGCCAACTGTCCCGAAATTCAGTTGTGTCCGGGAGTAGACTGAGGACAATGAGCTGGGCCCAGTGAGGCCCCCACCCCTCGAAAACCCAGTTGTCGTGACAATTGGCACCGTGTAAACGGTGTAGAGGCAAATAGCACTGTCTTGTCTTTTAGCAGTAGTACCCTGGTTCACTGTAAAATGCCTGGGCAAGTGTTGGCCACGTGTGAATAGGTTCTCGTTCAACTTGCCTGGCCTACGGCAATTCCAAAACCACGTGATGCCAATTGGCAAAGACAATTGTCTTGCCAACTGGCATCGTTTAAACCCGGCTTAAAAGTTGGTTAACGGATTTTAACGTGTTGTCCGTCAGTCAGTTATATCACAGAAAACGTAAAACGTTTTCTATGGTTATATGCCTCGCATCAGAACGACCTCACAATCTTCAGTGGAGTTTCTCTGTCTCCTCCTCCCGTTTTCAATATTTCTTCTTTGAACTTGATGCATTTTCTGTTCTTCCAACAAAACTGATTAACTGTTTAACTTGGTCTTAACCTACCGAATATTACAAACAAACTCCGAAAAAGCTAATGAGTTTCTTTTTATAAACATCTGTTTTTGTTTTTAAATTTGTTCTATGTTTTTCTTATAGGGGAAAACCCGACCTTTGAGAGGGGCTTACGCCCTTAAGAGTAGGAATTTTAAAATTATAAAACCTTATTGCAAAACTTACATAATGAGACGAATCTTTTGACACCTTAAAAGTAGAAATTGGTCCACAAATAAGGGATGAGGAGTTGCTTTAACAAAAAACGGCTTCACGTATTTTATATATAAATATATTTGAACGAATGGTGTTTTTGGCCTCTGGGACATCAAAATAAAAAAAGTAAATCGGTCCCGGGCTTAGGTCTTACCGTGCCACCTACACGGTAACAGCTACTTTTTTATCTATGGTACTTTCCTATAGGGAAATTCGCTATAAAGCTATAACGTTAATAAATGCCACTGGCGTAGATATACACAATACAAAAATAATAAATAGCACAGTTTTACAATAGTTATTTGCACTCGACGATGTGATTTTTTAAATAAAGCAAACTCGTTGTATCTATTCTACAGTATATATAATTCAGTTTTTAAAATCTTTGTACAACTAAATCTAGAGTTCTACTTCTACTGGACCGATTTTATTAATTAATGGGTCGTTGGAAAGCTTAAGTCGTGTAGATTTGCAAATAATTATGAAAGTTTGTTTTTGTTATGATTTATGGTGATAAATTAAAGAAAACGTGTTTTCCATAAGAAATACATTGAAAACAGTGTTTTTCACACTTTTTATTTTGGCGCGACTTTTAGCTGCCATTTTTTAATATTTCCAAGAAGTGCATGGTATCAATTTGTAGGAAATTTTATTCTCTTTCAGAATATCACCTTCCACTTTGGTCGATTTCCTCACCATTTAAAAGTTATTTGCAAAAAAGCTAAGCAACCTCCGAATTTATAGTAATAAGAAAATATTGAGTTTGGGAAATTTTTGTTAAACTTTGTACAACTAAATCTAGACTTCTACTGGACAGATTTTGTTAATTAATGGGTCATTAGAAAGCCTAACCCATATAGGTAGATTTGCAAATAATTATCAAATTGTGATTTTATTAAATATTTGTGGTGAAAAATTAAAAATAACAAAAGTACATTAAAAAATGGGTTTTCAAGTTTCTGTTTTCAAGATTCTATTTGTAGCCAGCTTTTGGCTGCCTTTATTAAGTATTTTCAAGAATTGCATAGTAGTTATTTGTAGTAAATTTTATTCTCTTTAAGAATAGGAGATTCACTTTGGTCGATTTTCCCTCCATTTAAAAGATATTGGCAATAATCTAAGTGATCTCCAAATTTATAGTGGTGAGAAAATACTGAATTAGATATATTTTTGTTAAACTTTGTACAACTAAATCTAGACTTCTACCGGACCGATTTTGTTACTTAATGGGTCGTTAAAAAGCCTAATTTGTGTAGATTTGCAAATAATTATGAAAGTTTGATTTTATTAAATATTTAAGGTAAAAAAATTAAAAATTAAAATTATAACATTTAAAACTCCTTTTATTCCAGGTTTATATTTTCAATTTTATATTTGTAGCCAACTTTAGGCTGCCTTTATTGAGTATATTCAAGAAATTCATAATAGTAATTTGTAGGAAATTTTATTCTCTTTCAGAATATCACCTTCCACTTTGGTCGATTTCCTCGCCGTTTCAAAGTTATTTGCAAAAACGTTAAGCAACCTGCAGGTTTATAGTAGCGAGAAAATACTGAACTAAAGATGTTGTTGTTAAACTTTGTACAATTAAATCTACAGTTCTACTGAACCCATTTGATTAATTAATAGGTCATTGGATAGCCTAATTTGTGAAGATTTGCAAATAATTATGAAAGTACTGTTGAGGTTGCAAGCAAGATCGTTAGGCTATAAATCGATGATAAATAACTCAATTTTTTGAACAATTTGTGTTGGTCATGATTTAGCTGTGTGCTTTAATGAAATGGAAGCTGGTATTTCAATGAAGGTTCTTAGGTCAAAACAAATAGAATAACGTAATTAGAATTAAGTAAATGTATCTAAAACTAAATTCCATATCCAAGATATAATCAAATTTATATTTTCTGATTGAGCGATACAGTATCTTGAACTTAACTGATTAAAACTATCAATATCTCAAGTGAAAGCCTTTGAAGTATTTTAAGAGAGTTCCGTATCATTGATTTCAGATAGGTACTAAAACTATTGTATTTACTACTGTTGATTCGTGATTCAGCAGTGAGCTTTAGGTAGTCCGATCTTAATAATCAATATAACTCAAATGAAAGCTGGTATTTCACTTAAGGTTTTTAGACCAAAATGTATAATGTAATTAGAACTGCTGGAATACATCTTTAATTGAAGAGAAAAAAATTCTTTCGTCGAGTTATACATTAGATAAATTAATGATGATGCTTGATGACAAATATGTGCTTGCATAGGTTTATTTTAAGACCAAAACTATGAAAATCGGGCAGGTAGAAGAGCCCTCCTGTAAACAATCGCCCGCCTGCGAAACATTGAACTCGAAAAAAAACAAATTTAACTCCCATAAGAAATGCACAGGGAGGCAGTTTGTGCATATCTCGAAATATACGTCAAAATGAATGCCGATGCTTGATGGCAAATCTGCGGTACGTCCATACCTTTAGTTTAAGGCCAAAATTATGAAAATCGGTCGGGTAGAAGAGCTAACCCGACTCTGAAAAGAAAAACCAATTATTTTTATAGATGGCAATAATTGGTTTACCAGTATGCATAATCCAATCATACGAAACATGTGTTAATAATTCAACAGCTTATTGCTATATTGTTATCTAATTAATTTTTGTTTGATTAAATGTTGTTGTTAACAATTTGCATTTATGTTTAAAGTGTGTTCCTTATGTTAAATGTGTGATTCTAATGTTATGTGCTTAAACTGTACCATTAATATTAGTGAGTAAAGTGGTGTATGGATTTCATAACCATTATTTTACTAGAGACCGTTGTATTTAACCACAACGGGCACTGTTGCTAGTTTATGCATAATGCTAATATGAAACAATAGTAATTTAAATGTTATTCCTGATTGTTAAGTTTCATGGCATAAATAAATACTATCCCATTTGGTCTAAAAGCATGGAGTACAATCACAAAACAAATAACCCAACCAAACCAACAAAATGATGCAAGATGCGATGCGAAACGGCACACGGAAGATTTCTCAGGTGCCGTTTGACGTCACTACTGCTGACGTCACTTTGAGGGAACACCAATACCGCAACGATACGATTTCAGCCATCGTCATCGGTGGTGCAGTGGATAGCGTTGCGGGTTGAAGATCCGAATGATCCGGGTTCGAATCCCGCCGGCGGCACTAACTTTTTATCAACAATTTTTTCATATCAGCAAGTTTGGTTGGTTTGGTTAGGTTATGACGGTTTAATTTTATAATTAAAAGATTATAAAATTGAATTTTAGACAATTATAATTTTATTTTATGAACAAAACTATTTTTTAGATTAGTAAACCTTTATTTGATTTTTCCATTATCAGCACGTTTGGTTAGTTTGGTTAGGTTATGACAGTTTATTTTAATAATAGAAAATTATAAAATTGTCTGTTTCTTCAGACACAGCAGTTAGTGACGTCAGCAGTTAGTGACGTCAAACGGCACCTTAGAAATCTTCCGTGTGCCCCACGGCCCCACCGAGATGCGATGCGAGATGCGATGCAACAACAACAAACAAAACAAACCGCAAAGTCCGCAAACCGACGAAGTTGCAGACAGCAGTACAGTAACGTAAAATTGTAGATCTAGTATTAGTAATTCTTTATTGTTGATTAGTTTTTGTTTTAAAATATGGCAAAGTTTAGCGCGTGTTTTCATCTCTGTCCTTTAATTGATCAAAAGAGTTTTCTTGGCGTCATGGATGAATCCGTCAATGGATGTGTTATTATAACCCTTGGGAAGAACATGGTTATCAGATACAAGGTGTGCAGTAGGCTATGAATGTAAACATAACCAACATTGTTTTGATTTTATTTTATTTTTAAAATCTGCAGGATTACATTTCATACATTTATTTCTTTACTTACAAGGCTTACTGATTTAGGTACAGTAAGTTAGGCCTATCAAAGGTTAAATTAAAATGTTTGTAATGTAGGCTAGGCATACCCGTTGCACAACAGTATAGTCACCTGTTTTGTGTAATCTTGGTTATTTTTCTTCTATTTTAATTGCTCGAGTTGTGTATAGCCTAGCTAAAATTATATAATTTTACAAAGGATTAAGCCTAGGCCTATCTTACAAATATTAGGCCCAGAGGCAAAACAAAACTTGAAATTGGCCTAAACTTATTTGAAATACTTAAGGTCTTCATCATTGACTGTCAATGTCGGATAGATTGTGTCAACTCATATGAGTTTGTCAATGAAACAAATTATTTACTCTAGGCTTAAGTATTTACAAAATATACAATAACTTATATACATTTTAATGTGGCACAGCGGATATAATTTGGGCTAGGATCTGAAAATAGGCTCCTCGGACGAGGGCGTGATACATAGTCTTTAGGTAGGCTGCGTTATGATCTAAGTTTCCTCAACAGGTTAAAGACTCTGGAGAGCTCAACGCAGACTTTTTCATTCCAGCTGTAGGCCCTACTCATAGCAACCATAAACCAAGCAGCTTTATAGGTTCATCCTCCTCCTCTCTAGTTTTGAGGGTGCATATAAAAGATTACGTCTTGTCCTCAATTATCTTCAACTTGTTAAAGATAAACCATTCTTTGGCCCGTATCAGCAGTTGTTTGGCTTCCGCTTTAAGTCCAGGCAAATCTCGCCCTCGTGAGAGTAGGGTGGTATCGTCTGCAAACAGTAGTGTGACAACTGTTTGGCGATAAGTCATTGATCTTCACTGTGAAAGTAATGGGCCAAGTTCCAATCCTTATGGCACTCAGTGTAACAGTACGAGTAGCCTACACTAACTCTAGAGGAGGCTCCACTCAGTGAAACAATTTGTTTCCGGTTTCCAAAGTAGCCCGCCAGTGTTTTCGGTACCATCTTACTGATTCCATAGCCTACTTGCTGAGCTTAGCAACCAGAATTTCATGCGAGACCACATCAAATGTCTTGCTGAGGTCACATTGGTGAAGCTGTACAGACTCGCTGTTTTCAAATGCATCAGTTATTTTCTCAGCAAGATTTAAAAGGGCTGTGATAGTAGATCGTTTGCTTCTAAACCATGCTGGGCATTGTTAAGTAGGTTGTGGGTTTTGAGCCATTCCACAAGTTTTTTCGTTATAGTCTCAAATACATCAGAGAACATTGGGGTACCCTACTTATAGATTGGTATGGTCCTAGCAGTTTTTAGGCTATCAGGAAATATACCTTTTGAGAGGCAGACATTCACTAAATTGGTGAGAAGTACCACAATGGTGTCAATCACTGTTATTTATATTTAGTACAGAGCTAGAAATCCCATGAATATCCTGGCTTTTCGAGTCTTTAAATCTTTTAACTACATTTATAACCTCGGCAGGACTCACTTCTCTCCAGTTTTCAAATTTGATCGAGCCAGTTTGCGCTCATTGAATCTCATTGAATTGACAGGCTGCCTATGGATGTCAATTTTACCTCAAAACCTGAAAATTTCCTCCTAATAAGTTACAGAGTCAGTGATCAGGCATCCCTAAAAATATTATTCATTCTGATAGCCCCTGGACTACGTATAATGACTTACATAGGCTTACCTCCGCCAGTAGTCCAAAATTGTGTCTTATTTCAACTAATGTTGTTCAAAGCTTACACGTTTCGTTACACTGCAACATCGTCGGAGCTTTATGTCAAAAACATCAAATAATTTAAACATAGAATAAAACACGGAACATTTAACCTACAACCGCTGTCGTGCCGTGTCATGATAGCGCTTGTGTTATTTCGTGTTTAAATGTTCCGCGTTCTGTGTTTTATACTATGTTTAAATTATTTGATGTTTTTGACATAAAGCTCCGACGATGTTGCAGTGCAACGAAACATCCTAAGCTTTGAACAACATTAGTTAAAATAAGACACAATTTTGGACTACTAACGGAGGTACCTAAGCCTATATAAGTCATCCTTAAAAAACCAGGTAGGCCTACCTGCAGTTGTGGCATAGAAACAACAAAACTAGCTGGGTAGTTGAGTGGTTATTAGTGATCAATAAGAATGAGACTGATTTATTTCCCGAAAGTATACAAAATTACAATGAAAAGTCAATACATCAAAATCAATCCTGAGAAAAGTCAGTAGCTTTTTTGATGGTTCCAAACTGATCCCAGCTGTCTTTTTGATCATTGAGCTTTCACTAAGTTTGGGTTAAAATACTGCCCTGCTAATAAAGAAGGCAGTAAGTGCAAAATTTTCGATTTTCAGATTTTGTTGTAATTTAAGGTTTTTGGGGTCAGGGATTCTGAAAAACACACTTAAAAAGCCGCATCTACAACCGTTTCTGAGATATGGCAGGTGTATATTGCAGTATATACATCATTTTTCAACAGAAACTAAGCTAAAAGGCAGTATCTATAAAAGCTAAGCAAGAAAGGCAGTATCTGCGATGTAGATAGGCTACTGCCTTTATGCTTAGTGATGTACATCACGTACTGCCTTTTTGCTTAGCATTATGGGTACAAATGAGGAACTAAAAGCAGTTTTTACCAGCTGAGATTATGTTGTTGTGTTTGTGTTTACACTGTTGTTTGTAAATATGAAAATGGCTAGTAGTAGTTAGATATAGTGATGGGAGAATCGAATACTTTAAAGAATCGAATACCGTGAATTCGTAGCCTCCCCTGTATTCGAATACTTTTACGAATACTTGTATTCAAACACCTTTGAGTATGCAAAGCATGGAAAATGAGTGTGTAATTCTTTTTTCCCGTTCTTTTGGCCACTGTTATTTCGATTTTACAGTAATTAATTCATTAATATAATTTATTCTATGTAATTTTAAATTATATGATTTTTAAAAGGTACATTTATTTTGACTTATAATTATTTCATGGTCAGTTACAGTCTTATTAATGTATTATTTTCTATTATATTAACTAATTAATATCTTAAATAATATGTCTTATTCATTTGTATGGATAATTTACATCAGATATGCATGTTATTTTGCCATGTAACTATTTAAATCGGTTGTAGTTATAATAAATTCTATTCAATTGCCCTCTACCAGTAGTAACCTAATATCATAGATAAAACATGTTGGTTAGTCTATGCTAATATTTTAAATATACAATATATTCTAAATGTTAACGATTAATAATAATCTTATGTAAATTATAGGGCTAATGGTAAAACTATAACGAATAGATGAAAACAAATGCTGCAGTAAAAACATTAAATACTCTTACGAATGCTACGGATTCGTAAGATACCTATTTAAAAGGGAATTCAGTAGTTGAAAAAGTGTTGAATACATTTTTGAATCCCCCGAATTCGCTTTCTAGATGCAAGAAATCCTGCAAAATCTGAGGTCAAGAGTATTCACAAAAAAGTATTCGTACGAATCTGAAGTATTCGAATCTACGAATACTCGGGCTGTATTCGAATACTATTCGATTCTGTATTCGATTCTCCCATCACTAGTTAGATACTGCTTTTTAGCTTAGGGTCCTCCTATTAGCACTTACTAGCTAAACAAAATGGCAGTATGAGCAGATGCTGCCTTTTGGTTTAGCATGAACACAAATATTTCTAAGGACAAAAGCAGTATGTGCATTTTTATATTGATCCAGTTTAAAAAATTTATTTTTTATAGTGTCAATTGAATATTTAGGCCTAAGCATTACCGAAGATAACAAAAAATATTAGTTTAGTCTTCACATGTGTTAGGGCAATGGCGGCAAAGTTGAGGTAATTTTCTGAAAATATTCACTTTTGCACATACTGCCTTCTTTCTTAGCAGGGCAGAATACACATCTAGGTGGCATCCCCATCTTAATTACAGTTCGGTAATGATAATAATGGATATATAGGAAACATTACAATCTCGATACAAGTCTTAAAATAAACTCTCACTAATTTGAAGACTGGCAAACAAAATAATCTTGGCTTATAATCTGATAAACAATATACTGTACTAACAAATACAAAGAGATATTACATAAAACTTCTCCTATTTTCATTTCACAAAATTTCAATTTCCCATGTCTTTGCTATATTTTCAGCTCTCAGATCAAAAACAAGTGAGCAGCTGGAGCACTGGCAGTAAAGACAAGCTGTCTGCTCCGGTAGTGTATGATGCTGTAAGTCAGCGTTACATTGGAGTGTTTAACACCAACCAGCTATCAACTTGGGAGGAGAGCTGTGTGCATCTCAAAGAGCTCAAGAAGTTAAAGGTAATATTAGATCTAAGGGAAAGGTTGGATATAAGTTTGGTTTTTATTGGTAATAGCACTCGTAAGTTTAAACCAATAAAGTTTTGATAAGTTAAATTGAAACGGGATCCTTTGGATTTTATAATTTTTAACTTAACTTTAATAGTGATGGCTAAAGAAACAGTTTGGCATTTGATAATTAGCAACTAAGCTACCTCCCTATATTCTAACTCAACTATAATGTATTTATATTTGAAAACGGAACTTAAATTGTGTGTTTATTGAACTGTTAATAGCTTATTATGAAACAAATACATTTGCCAAATTTGATAAAAATGTACCCTTTAATTAGCAAAATACAACCACTTTATTAACCCACATCCAACACTCTTGAAATATATTATATTTACACTAAGTAGGTACAGACAAATAAGAAGATGTTAAATACATATATTTTATTTTTTTTACATAGGCCTAGACAAAGATCCTACTTACATATGACAGAAAATGTCACATGTTTCGAGCCTCAATACACGGCTCATTTTCAGCCAAATGTTCTAAAAAATATGTCATTCTTTCAGAGTTTTTTTAAGGAACATAATGCCAGCAAACAAAATAACCCTACGCTACGTCAATTGTTTCACAAAATCTTAAGAATAATATGGGTCACAAAATCGAGTTAGAAAAATCACTAAGTGTATTGAAAAGTTGTAACTGAAAAAACATAACTTAAGTATGGGAGGAAATATTACCAGCATTTGAAATAAAATGGCATGGAAACTATGTTAAGAGGAATATTCGGACAAGATCACTTATCAGCTTTTTTGTGACATAGATAACAAAACTAGAAATAAGAACCACCAGTCAGCTGATTCTGTGACGTCGCTCTCCCGTGTTTGTGTACCTCAGTAGGCCTACAAATGTTGCCCGGTCGAGGTTTACCGAATCGAGTGTAAGCTACACAAAGACATGTAAATACTTCAAGGGAAAACGTTCAATGTTTATTTCTATATGTGTATGTTTCCTGTAAAAAGTCGATAATCATCTCTCTATGTGATATATTTTACATAGGTAGGCCTACTGAACAAAGCAATCATACAGTTTTACATACTGTGTGTTATCGCATGCTGCTGAAAATGTGCCTTGTAAACCTTTGAAGTCATAATTTTTTTTTTCATTTTTTGGCGAGTATAGGTTGCCATTTGAGCCGTCGGGAAAATGGCGCCTGGCGACCTATACTCACCTTTCCACCACAAAGATAAACTTTTTGGATTTTTCATTTTTTGTGTGGGTATTGTGGGTATAGGTTGCCATTTTCGAGCAGTCGGCAAAATGGCGGGCGGCGACCTATTCTCGCCATTTGACCGCAAAGAGTTAAGGCTTGAAACATACAGAATGAACAATATCTACAATTGATACCTTCTGGCATTCTTAAGTAGATTCTTGTCTATAGTAAAAAGGTGTCAAGGCTTATCAATTTTAAGGTGTTAAGTGGTGAAGGATTAATAAATTATGTATCCCATCCTACTCGAGTAGGCTGGACCTGCTAAATCGATGGGACTCGCTGAAAATTGTAAACTTCTATCTAAGCTCCTACTATCAACTATTGTTCAATACATAACAGGTGAATTTTGCAGTTTACCTCAGCCATAGATCGTGTTCTGACAAGCCCTTGTTCGGCTGAGCCTGTGGTTGTGTTCCGTAGTGGCCACGTTGCTCCTCTACAACAAGCCCTCGACAGACGACAACAACGCCCACCTAGAGACCCATTATTGAGCGAAGGTGAAACCATCAACGATGCTCATTTAGTCACTCTAATAGGAACTGTTGTCGTGGCTCTGTTTACTACCACAGCACAAGTGAGTAGAGTTTCAAACATAAATTATTTAACATTTGTGCGATTTGTGTTTACTGTGACAGTATTCAAAGCATAAGATTCTCTTTTTGTAAGAAAATATAGTTTTCAGTTTGTTGGTGTCAATCAAATTTTATGTTGCAACACCACATTACTTTAAACTGCATGACAGAAGATACTTTCGGGATGCCAATATGGGATAAGTCCCGCAAGCTTGAAACTTGTAATCCTGGCAGTCCAGATCTCTCGGCAGGGTCGCCGGATTTCTACCCCCGGATATTTACCCCCATGAAAAAACGCCTACGTCACTTTGACGTCACATGTATGGGGGTAGATTTCCGGCCGCGATCTTTTAGGATGGACAAATTATTATATATTCAATCAACTCGCATTTCACGGTTTACTTAACAGTTGTAATTAATCAAAATGCTAACAAACCTGACACCGGAACTTTACCCCCGGAAATCTACCCCCAGACATCCACCCCCGGACATCTACCCCCGGACATCTACCCCCAGACATTTACCCCCAGACATCTACACCCGGAAATCTACCCCCAGACATCTACCCCCGGACATCTACCCCCGGACATCTACCCCCGGACATCTACCCCCGGACATCTACCCCCGGACATTTACCCCCAGACATCTACCCCCGGATATCTACCCCCGGAAATGTACCCCCAGAATTATACCCCCAGTGGTCAAATCATAAATGTCCGACCCCGGAAAGATTTATTTCCGACCCACGGAAATCTACCCCCTGTGCTACACTACGTATCAGCCAATATTCATTGTTGTAGTTGATTTTAGTAATTGGTTTATAAAAATAATCAATGGCTCTTCGTTTAATAATTACCCTCTAATATCTAGTATTAAGCATGTGATATGTCGTTGTCTTGTTTAGTGTCATCTATCTTCCCAATTCATTAAGCTGTAACTGATTTAGGTGTCATTTTTAAGCTTAAGATTCAGTGCAACGCAAATGGTAATTAAAAAGGATATTTTGATAAAGGGCTCCAAAAGTTTAACCCATAAGCATTAGATCTATTTTCAGACAGTGATTTAAATGGTTAACCAATTTTCACATACACTCATCTAACGGCACATGTACGAGCGCAGATCGTGAAATTTAAAACATATCACTGAAAATTATTAAAGAAGCCAAAACAAGTCTTTATCTCAATTTCTGTCTTGCCTGTAGTAATAAAGTTGTATCACACAAAATAGTTTTCTAATAAAGTCAATTTTATTTTCAAGAAATTCAACTAATATATACATAAACCATAACAAACAATACTAATAATTAATACCCAACAGCTGTTATGTTTATGTTATGTCACATGCCCCCTTTTTTTAAGGAACAAAGTCTTTGTATTTTGTTGGAGGCTTGGAAGTTCTTGTAGGCCTTTTCTGCTGTACTTCCACAATTTCAGGTTCTTTTCTCTTGCTGTCTTGAAAATTATGTCCGTATGCTGGCCTGAGGTGAATTCTGTTCCTCCTATAGGTCCCACCTTCGGTTTCAACAATATATGAGTTTGGCATTTCATGTTTCTTCAAAATTCTTCCTTGGACCCAATCTCTTTTCCCATTCTGTACATAAACAGCTTGATTGTCTTTAAGTTCCTTGAGAATGTGAGAATTCTTATCATAGTAATTCTTCTGTTCTACCTGTTTTTTTCGAAGAGTTTGAATTGTATCAGTAGTAGGGAAAAGGGGTTTGAGAACTTCTTTTGGTACTGGAATGACAGTTTTCAATAGTCTTCCCATCAACATCTGAGCAGGAGCATTCAGATTATATTTGGGAGTGTTATTATAATCTACAATGGCCACATTCAAATCTCCTTTTGAATTCATAGTTTTTATAAGCATTGATTTTAGAGTTTGGATGGCTCTCTCTACCATGCCGTTTGATTTGGGGTAGTATGGAGAAGATGTTTTATGTTTTATCTGGTAATTGATAAACCTAAAGCATTCATCCGGCCGGTTTTCTCCTTCTCAAAATGCCTCGCTGTACAGGCAACACAGGTTATTGATAGAGGGCCAATTGAGAACGAAAAGTCGTTTTGGGGTAGTGTTCCATCTCTTGTTTACAGTTGCAGACGATCTATTCTGGTTTTCAACCGGACTTAAAAAATTTAACTGATTAGTAATCTGCTCACATTTCACCCTTAAGGGGAGTCTGTACCTTTTTGGTGAAAAAACAAGATTTTTTATTTTTATCTTAAAAAATTCTCCGATTCTTTGTGTTTATTTTTATATATAACGTTTAATATTTTGCAAAAGTTTTTTTATATAAAAATAAAACAAATAAATAGTACTGCACGATATTTTTCAACGTTCTTAGGATGCGCGACCTCAGCACCTTAGAACTTCAAGTGCGTTTTACCGAAAATAGTGTTTTTTAAAAGTTAGTTACGCATAACTTAAAAACTATTAGAGATAGCAATATGAAAATTCACACACATCTTCTTCCCATCATGGTAAATAGTGCTTAATACCTCTTTTAGTTTAAAATTATTTGGTTTAAGTCATTACCAAGGTAACAAAAAATCTAAATCAGGTAAAAAAATTACATATTTTATTTATAAAAATATAAAATTAAAAACAAAAATATATTTAAGTTTTAACTAGCAAGCCGGGTACCCTATGGCATAGAGATCATGTATTAAAAATTTTAACTTAATATGGTGTCGCATCAGGGAGTTGAAAAGAGACGCATCATCAGTGGTAGAATAAAATTGTATTTTGAAAGAGAGAAAACACCTGTAACAATTACAATTGCTGTAGCCTATTATAGCCTAATAAAATCTTAAGCTGTAAAAACATTTATTTGAAGTTATATTTATTTGAAATTTTAATATTGCAAATTTGGATTAATAATACAAAACAAAAGTATTAAACAAAACATTAAATGAATTTAGACACAATGTTTTATGTATATAAAATAGCAATTGAGGTTATGAACATGTGACTTTAGCCTAACATTATTAATAACAATATTCTTACCTTAAAAGGTGTTTGCTTGATACAGAAACATGTTAGAAGTACAGAAGAGATGAAATTTACAAAACTTGAAAAAGAAATTGAAATAGTTATAGCGATTAGAATTGATAATAAAATATGGCTAGGCCGAAAACATTAGACATCTCGTTGGCTGCATTACATCATTACAATCATTGGCGGAACATAGAAGAAGAACTAACGAACTTAAGATTTTCTATTGCTCAGTGCAATGCCATTAGAATTAGAACATAATCGGTGCTACATGATAACTCTTATACAATATAAAATATAATTTCTTCAAAAAAATAATAGATTTCTTCAATAATATAAAATAACAAAAATATATATAATTCTTCCAGTCTATATACAACACTCCTCCCTCCTTAAATAACACTAGGGTGAGTACCTTTTTGGGGGTTTGATCAGTCTTTTAGGCCTTTTCGGGGTATTGGACACAATTGGTTCTGTTTGGACATCAGATTGATTTTTAGGGGTCACGGAATTAGGATTTGGGCTAAGTCTGGTTGTGGGTGTTATAGGTTGTGGGGTTTTAGTGGGATCAATTGTTTCAACATTTTCATATGCTAAATGACTTCCTGGTTCCGTTTTGCCCTCAGTCAAGATCGGACAGTTCCTTATCTGATCTGCATGTCTTCGTATAGTTTTGTCTTCACACCTGATATCATACATGACATTCCCATTCCTCTTAAGGATGGTCCCTTGGTGCCATTTCTCCCCTGTTCTCGAAAAATTTTTGTAGATTACGTTGCTTCCGATTGCAAGGTCTGTAGATTTACCTGCGTCGTAACTCATCATTCTAGCTTGGTTTTTGATCACATTTTGTAGAACTGTGTTCGATTTTACCAGATCAATTGACGTGATTAATTCTCGATTCAGCATGAGCTGGGCGGGTGAAACCCCTGTTGTACCATGAGGCGTTCTTCGATAGTGCAACAAAAAATTTAAAAGTTTGGAGTTAGTTTTCCCTGGTTTATCTAGAGTCTTCCGTAGATTTTGCTTCAGGATGCCAACATAACGTTCTGCCTGGCCATTGGAACTTGGGTGAAATGGTGCTGTTGTGATATGTTTGATTTGGTATTTCTTAAGAAAATTTTGGAATTCATGCGAGGTGAAAGCTGTCCCATTGTCCGATACAATACAGGAACAAAAACCCCAACGAGAAAATAACTCTTCCAATATATTTATGGTGCTATCTGAGGTACATTTTGAAGTTGAAAATATTTCTGGCCATTTAGAGTATGCATCAACTGCGATAAAATAATTTTGGCCGTGAAACGGACCTGCGTAATCTATGTGAACTCGTTGCCACGGTCCACTTGGATACTCCCATGCATGCATTTTCTCTTTCTTTGGCATAGGACTTTGTTTTTGACATGCTTCACAATGCCTGACATATTCCTCTATATCTCGGTCAATCCCTTCCCAGTAAACATGTGACCTTGCTAGGGTTTTCATCTTAACCATTCCAAAATGACCTTCATGGAGTTCTTGAAGTATTTTTGTCTGAAGTTTCCTGGGGATTACTACTCGGATCCCTTTCATGATACAGCCATCTTGAATCGTCCACTCCCCCAATCTGTCTTGTTGAACCTGCCTACTTCCTTCTTGAATAGACCTTTTAAGCTGAGATAAATAAGTGTCTTCATCAGTTTCATTTGCAATTTGCTCTGCCGTAACTGGTAGAATATTTAATTGTTCAAGTTGGAAAATTTCTGCCGCGTCAGTAGTCTTTTTGTTAGATTTAATCAAAAATCTGGAGCAAAAATCAGCATTGAAGTGTTGGTCGTGCTTTTTGTACCTAATTTCATAGTCGAAACCTTGGAGGAAGATCGAATAATGAAGAAGTCGTGTAGTGCTAAGTGAGGGTGCTCCCTTTTCAGCGTTAAAGATTGAAGCCAAAGGTTTATGGTCACTGTAGAGTATAAAATGTCTGCCATAAATGTAGTTAAACAATTTCTTAACGACCCATACAATTGCA